AGCAGGACGGTATTCAAAACAAGGAGGCGGAGGAGCCTTAGTTCCGAGTGAGCCTTGCTTCTTTCTGTATTCCTTCAAATTTATCGAAAATAAAAGCGTCCGCAATGACTTTGTACTATTCTTGTATCCTTTGGAGCTCGTCGTACTGTGCACGACAGGTATGTAGCCTGACCAGATACCAGTAGTTGTCGCACGCTTGAAGCGGTTCGTTAGTGATACTCGGGAGTACTATAGATTACACCTCCGGCGGGCGACGGCCGCGGAACGGAAAGATGCCTACAATGTTGAGTATAGGGTACATACCACACACCGTGGCATGTGTGGGGTTCATATCTCGAGGGAGGGCAACCCGGGTCGAGTTGGGGTCCAGAAGTTGGGGTATATGAGGAACTCCTGTAGATAGACTTTCCTCTTCAGAAAACACCTTTACATCTAACAACCACCGCCGTCTCCTACAGCATGAGTGTGTACACTACTCATATACTACTACTAACACTACATAAACTTTGATAGTAGCAAGCGGAGGATGGCCTTTTTTGAATGAACGAATTCATCCCTGCCACGGGCGACGGGCGTGGGCATGCTGTGGCTACTCTATCACTATAGTAGCACGGATTCGGAAGGGATCCGGCGGGCGTGCAGCTGGCCTAGACTTCTTCGCTCCCGAATCTCGATGGGTACATACAAAATCCAAACCCAACCGGCAAGGCAATGCATGCGGGCCGTTTCGCCGTATGTAGATGTCTTGTCTTGCCTCCTCCGTAAACTCATTAAAATGGTTGGATCGTGGTCGGTAGTCAATAGTTAGGCGGTAATCCTGTGCCGACACCTCGCAGATCTGTGCTTTCACGGGCCTAAAAACGCAGTCGTAAAGCTTCACAGGTGTCAGATACTACGAAGTCGTCGCTAGATCGGCGGGTCTACCTATAAAATGTGAAGCCATGTCCGTATGTAATGGGCACGTAGTAGTACTACTCCTTCGTCGCTGTGTTAGCCCTTGGCAGAGCTCGAACGTGTTCATAACCGCGCGTAGAAATCGACAGCACGGAAAAAACCCGCGTGGCTTAACGGTCACGCACCGGGCGGAGTTTGCTGGACACCGGTCCAGCTATCGGGGTTTCCAAGCCAACCCCACCAGGGGTGGTGAAGGTTTTTTTTGCTCGTTTGGCGGCCGTGGTTCGAGCCCGGGTGAGGCACAGGTTTTTCACACGCCGTTGTTTTTTTGGGTTTGATTATCGTGAAATTAGGCCTTAATAGGGAACGACAGATTACAGGTCGGTTTCCACCCGACTGTCGCCGCCCTCTGGTCGCGAGCTCGGCTGTCTGGCAGGTGCTTAAGATTATGCGGGAGGGAAGGCGTGGCTGATGCTAGGAGTAGCGAGCAATGGTGACCGCAGATTTGGCGGTGAGAAGCGCTTTTGTAATATCGTGATATCGATGGTGTCGTAATATCGATGGTGTCGTAATATCGATGGTGTCGAAATATTGATGGTGATGTCAGTACGAGAGGAACAATGATGGATGGGAAAGGAAGAAAAAGCAGGATAACGGTAGGAGTGGTCAGCGTGGTTGAAGCGCTAGCGGGTGGATGAGGTTGAATGGCGTTGAGCGGGAGACTAGCCACACACAACCACCATCTCTTCTGCGTCGACGTCCGGCCCGTCGAGAATGATACATATCACATAGTGACCGGGCTTAATATCGGCACACACACATACAGTAGCAAAAAGTAGGGTGCGATTGATACGGAGTGAATACCGCAATCATTTGAATACCGAAGAACTACCAGGTTTCAACTTTCGAGTTGAATACGGAAGTAGACGGTTGCAGCGACAATAAACAGATCCAACCCTCGAGGCTGAGCTGGAAACGATCGGAGTTTTCTCTTGTGCTACCGGCACAAGTTCTTTCCCCCTTCCTCCGGGGGCCCAAGTCGGGTGAGAGCCGACTTGCTCTCGGTGGATGGTCTCTCCGAAACCGGGTGACAGACGGTTTCGTTTTGACAAGGAATAACAAAACAAAGAAAGCATAACTTCCGAGTTATTCGGCGCGTATAGCCCGGTCTACTATCCACCCAGGTTATACGTGGAGGTTTTCTTCTTTTGCTGCGCGAGAGCAAAGGTCTTTCCTCCTGGCCATGCATGTCATGTGTGAAACACATGCCACATGCGTGGCCAAGGCCCATGTCTCCGAAAACGGGCTACAGACGGTCTTGGACGAGCAAATAAATAACCAAAGAAGCATAACTTGGTCTACTACAGCCCCAAGTTATACGCGGATAACGTGGTTTACTGCCCTCCATGTTTTACGCGGAGATCGTCTTCCTTTCAGAGTAAAGGTCTTACCTCCTGGCCATGCATTAGTGAGATGCATGCGCCATTGGCCAAATGTTGTTGCTCTGGCCGCTGTGCGAAGGAACGACATTTGACTTGGGGTGCCAGTCGTTACGGGGCGGGGTAGCGGTGGGCGTATGGTGGATCCTTGCCTGAGAACTAAATCTACTCCGACAGCTGGCGCATCGTTTGCTGTCGGGGACGACGCGGTCACGATTCTTGAATGTCAATCGCTGCTCCCGTTGATACTTTCTTTTTTGGTTTATTCATTGATTCTGAGTGCGGAGTCATGAACTGATCTCATCAAGCAATTATCAAAATCCATTTTGTGTCCATTCTACCAATCATTCAAGAAGTAGTATCATGGCCAACTGTCGATGCTAACAGCTGGGAAGTGGAAGCGGATATGTACCTCATCTAATATGATCTACTAATATCGAATGCAATCCAATGATAATTAAACTTCACCCGTCTCCCTGGCGAAGCAAAAAAAGCCAGCAGCGCAGTCAAGGCGTGTCACGTGATGACCACTGCCGAGTGCTATCCTGTGCTCCGTAGCCACCCCCGGGGCCGGCGGGTGGCTTACAAATCTTCAAGAGCTTCAGTGAATACAAACAGTCTTCCATCCAGCCGTGTTTGAGCGAGGAGCTTTCCCTCCCTCATTTCCCCTCGCCGATTGCATGGCCTATATATAGTAGGAATATCAGGGTCAGTCAGACAGCGAAGGATGGCGAGGCCAGCACAGTGTACTATCAGTCCAATTCTGTTACAATCACCGACATAAGCTCGTTTACTAATATCCAAAACTTTATTACTTTGTGCAATTACTGTTAACTGTAAGTTCCTTTCTTCATCGGTGGCTACGAGGCCTGCGTGGTCGCTACGCCTGCGGCTCATGTTGGCGCGACGTGTTCATAACCGCGCATAGTAAATGTTCAGCACTGAAAATACCTCGCGTGGCCGAGTGGTCACGCACCCGGCGGAGTTAGCTAGACACCGGTCCAGCTTTCGGGGTTTCCAAGCCACCCAACCAGTGTTCTACATAGACTAGACCGGTGCGCCGACCGGACGGGTCGGTCGGGATATATCTCGACCCGACCAGACCTGATTTTTTTCTGGTCGGGATATACGCCGACCGACCAGACCTAGGCTTTAGTAGGTCGGGATATATCCCGGCCAACCAGACCGTGCCAGGCTTGGTCGGCCCAGGTCGGCCGACGTCGGGATAACAGAGAAGCTGATCAGCCGCAACATTTTCTGTCATAGTCGTGCGTCCGGAATGTGTCAATGACGACCACAGCAATGCTGGAAGTGTTGGGCGTCCGAAATGTTACTATAAATGTCGCAGAAATGCTGGCAGACAACAGGAATGCTGGCAGAGGGATGGGATGATTGCGGCGACTCAGGCGGATTTGAAGGAAATTGGGGAGATGTTGGCTACCCTATGCGAGGACGATCTAGTTTAGATAGGTGATTGGAAAGGGTACAAATTTCAATGTGTATACTTTCTTAGCCCGACTTATCCCAACCGACCAGACCAAGTTTTTTTTGGTCGGGATATATCCCGACCGACCCGACCATACCCAAATTTGGTCGGGACTGGTCTATGTAGAACACTGCACCCCACCGGGGGTGGTGAAGGTTTTTTTTCGTTGGGGGCTGTGGTTCAACCCACGGTTTCGGCATGGGTTAACTTAACGATGTACTACAGCGATCACTCGCCGCGTGAGATCGCGTGCGCTCAGCTTGTACCCGGACTACTGTGATACGATCATGCGTTCGCAACGACTTGACCAAGAACTTGCCGTGAACGTAATCTTTTTTTTGCGAGAGAATAGCTTGGTTTGGGTTCCAGCTCGATTCCGTAATTGAGCAACTCTGGATTTGTGTGCTCGTAGGTTTTAGGTGCCTATGTTAGCCACGTAGGTATGATAGAGTATATACGCAAACTATGATTCGAGTGTGTAGCGGGAGTGGCCCGGGGCTCTCAGCTCTAGTGCCCTCCTCCTTCTCTCGCCTCCTCTCCGCCAGCCTTTGCAACGATAGCCCAGCGGCAGATAAGAAATAATCAGGTGCTGGGCGAAATCGAGTGACCTTGAAGGACCGCCACGTGACGATACGGAGTCCGGTCACCTAATAGCCCATGTTATCACTCGTTTTGACATAGGCTGACGAAGCAGAATATGTTTCAAAGTGGAACACCTTGATATTAGATTCGCCCGCTGTGGTTACTACGGAATATTCTTTATCCGGTAGGGAACTGGATAAGCCAATAAACACCCTGCAATCCTCCGGCCCCACGGATATGGAAATCGCCTGGGGCGATGCCTACCGGAGGAGCTGGAAGGGGCACCTCCTTGATACCGATAATTATTATCGTGCTCTTTGCAGGTCTTGCGATCCGGTAGTGCTGCTAAGTATGTTCCTGCTTCGCTGAAAGGTCAATGTTTCTGTTACCTCATCAAACCGATTTGCATCACAGCTATCTCACCACGTTTCAGTCGCCAGGTGGCAGTTTGTACGTTCCATCTAGGTAGGTATTCACAATCTTATCGTCGCCCGTATATACTGTTATACATATATCGAGGTAGCGCCACAGACCAGTCTGCAGCGATCCCACCCCACCCAAATCGACCCTACACCCACCACCCCCGGCTATCCACAGCCCTAACCTCCAATCTTCTCGACAACCCACCTCGCAGCAGCCGTGCCATAGACCGTAACATACATCAGATGTGCAAGGGTATTCAAACCCGAGTCGCAGAAGGTATCTCCAGAGTCGCAGTAAGAACGGAAGACGCTGGCGTACGACTCGCAGCTCTGGTCGCTCGTGCGAGGGAACAGCCCGCTGCCTGTCGACGTCCCCACGTGGTAGGTTTCGTCCTTGGTGTGGCGGGGGTCGCCCATTTGCAGGACTGCTACGACTGCGGGAGGTTAGCGGGGAAGAGTGAGGAAGGGAAGGGAAGGGGGACATACCCTTCGACGTGAGACTGGAAGCCATCGGCTCGGTCTTCGCGCCGATAAGCAATCCGCCGCCGCCGCACATAGCATCGCCTGCCATCTTGTTAGTCGTCTTCCCGACCGCATCCGCATTTACTACTTACCGATTATATGCGCCCCCTGCGAGTACCCCATGAGCACGATCTTCGCGTCTGGGCAGCTAGCCGCGTACGCCGCAAACTGCTTCTTTACCGCCGCGGTCCCCGCCTGCGAGGAGGTGTCATACGGTGACAAAAGCGCGGGGTAGTCGATTGCCTCCTGCGTCACCGTCTTGCTCGAGCTGCTAATCACTGCCGCTGCGACGCTGCCGATTACCCCATCGCCCGCCGCCTCGGTGGAAGCGCGCGCTACGAGGATGTGGATATCGCTGCAGGACGTATCTGCTCGTGATATGAGTGGTGAATGTGGCACTGCCACGGAAAGGGTCGAGAGCGCGAGGAGGAGGGGGAGGAGGGTGGGCGTGATGAGTGGCATCGTTGAGGTGGGCTAAAGGAATGAGTGAATGACGGTTGATGAGGTGGAATGGATATGCGCGGGATCCGTCTGGTATTTGTAGCTTTCCGTGAAGCTCCCGGTCTACTAGTAATGACTGCCCAGAGATGCTGCGATGCTGAGGAGATCGCGCGGTCCATTGTTTCAACTCCACGCCCTGAACCTACCGTTCCATAGCTTTGCCGGAATTCCGTGGACTTCCTCTGGAACAAACGGCATCCGTATGCATCGCCAGCATATTCCCCATTCCAACTTCCAACTTCTGGTATGTACCATTACCCCGCCTTAGAAAAAAAACCTAAGCCTCAACCTTGGCGCGACAGATATATTGCGCGATTACGTCCTACAGGCTACACCTCATCTATTGCACGCTCGATCGATTGCACGCGGGGTACCTGCAGGCTGCAAGGAAAAATAAGCCTTTTCGCCCGCCAGCCCGCACCACCGGAGATGGTGCGACATCCGGTGGGCAGGGGCATCTCTCGGTAGCGGGGCCGAGACTAAGACAGAGACCAGTGGCACTTCGCCGAGGCATAATTATTGCGCTAGCGGTAAGCCGCGGCTGCGGAGGTTCACGTAGAGTGCGGATGACGACTCGCGAGCCAGAGGTCATACATATACGGGAAATGAGGCGAATCTGACTCGCCAGTGGATGCGTATCCCGGTGTCCGAGCCGCTGGGATTTATTCCCCGCTGATGGAAAGGGCCCGATACCTATCGTATGTACAGTATCTGCCATGATCTATACATAGTAAGGTCGAATGCAATGATGATTAGACGAAGGAAACAAATACTTCCCCGGGTAAATGTTATCCGGTGATCGGGCAGGGTGGTCTCATCATTCCTGTCTCATCTCATGGGTCACGGTGGAGTCGGGATCCGAACAGGGGTCGACTATCGGGACGGGGATCATCGGTGATGCATAATCCAACGTCACCGTAACCAACCCAACCATAACCGTAGGGTGGGGGACGAGAGATAGAGAGTGAATCACGCGTACCACGGGTGAAGGGATGCAATCATGCAAATATAACAGTAGAGTAGATGACCGGAACGGCGGGAAGGAGCGAGACAGGATGCTACTATCGAGTCACGTTGCTGAGGTTGCGAACGTGGCCGGCATCCGGAAGAAGCGGAGCAAAGCGAATGAACGTTGCTGACATATGCTATTGCAGTTTATCTGTTTCGCCGCGATGTCATGGCATGTTCCGCACTTCCGATTGCGAGGTACATATAGTTACATGCATATCTGCAGGCTCTTCACGGCGATACTATCTACGCCTACTAAACGATTGCAAGTGCGAGTGACGGCGTTCCTGCAACGCATCATGATGGATCACCGATGAACCCTCCATCACGAAGAACAAGAAACGCTTTCGTTCATCACGACGCAGATGGTATTAAATACAGCCGAGTGAGCCCGACTCGGCGGAAAGGCGGACGAGAGCCTCTGTCCCGACAGGAAGCCGGTACTTAGCAATAACCTTATCCAAACCCCGGGTTCCGTATTTCCGACACGTGCCTCACGAGTCTTTCTCGCTCCCCCGACATGTCACGGGTGATGGCCGGACAGAACGTACTGGAGTCAACTGCAGTTTACTGCCGGACTGCAGGACCCCGTTCAGCAAAACCACAAACGGGACGGATTACGCTTTTCCCCTCCAACAGGCGAAGGAGACTGGAATGTTCCGGTCCAGTCCATCCGGACCGAAATAAAGTATGTGTTCTAGCCTGCCGGGCAAAATGGGTTTTTTATAAATAGACCGGCCCGCGGGGCAAGCGACTTGTAGAACACCGCACATAGCCAGCCCTACTAGGTTACCAAGGGCTTGGTGGCTGTGGCTCGCGGCAGCGATACGCAAAAAAGTAACATGCGTTCACGTAGAATATAAAATTTAGTTTTATCCTACATACTGGAGTCCATGGACATAAAGAATCAGAGCTATCGTACGGAACTACCCGCGGCTCCGCGGTTCTCCGGCGTCACCCCAGCAGCCATCACTCGGGATAGCGAGTGATGCTAGATGCTTCACCGGCAGCGACAAGCGTTAATAACGACTATCAACGGCGATTCAACTTCAGCACCAGAACCGCGTGGGTTATCTAATCTCCACGCGAGATCTCTCCTCCTCAACTTCGTCCCCCTCTTTCTCTCCCTCTCTCTCTCTTCTTCCTACAGGTAACACAACGAATCCCACGGTCGACAACCCCCCACCGATCAACAAATTACAATTATCTACTACAAACCGTTCGAATCAACAACCTCTACAATTTCCCCAACGCCAGATACAATGGCTACCCCTACCAGCCCCACCATCGAGACCGCCAGCCCCGCCTCTGCCTCGAACCACAAGGTCCTCGAGTTCTTCGCTTCACCAGCCGAGCTCGTGGATAGTTTGGTCGGCGTCGCAGCCGAGGCTGCCGACACCGACGATCGGATGGAGATGGACGTGGAGATTGAGATCGAGAAGGGTATCCAGATCGACATCGAGATGAACATGGAGGTGGAGATGGGGATGGAGGAGAAGATGGAGGATATGGACGAGGACGAGGACATGGGGGAGGATGAAGACGAGTATGAGGATATAGAGGCGGATTCGAACATGGGCGAGTACTAGGAGGAGGACGAGAATATGGAGGAGGCATAGGCCTGAGGGAGCGTTTTTTTCTCTTTTTTTCTCTCAATATTACCCCAAATACCCCTGTCAAACATATCGAATCGGTTACTTGACATGTCTATAAACAGGGCGGTAGGCCTCTATATATACACCTCCGTACGTTGCCGCTAGCGGCCCCTCGTCCGGTGGCGCCGCCCCGGCCAATGTTCTACATAAACCAAACCGGTCGGGCCGACTGGACGGGTCGGTCGGGATATAACCCGACCCGACCAGACCTGATTTTTTTCTGCTCGGGATATATCCCGACCGACCAGACCATACCAAATTTGGTCGGGACTGGTCTATGTAGAACACTGGCCCCGGCGCCCCATCGGGAGCGGCACTACCCAACGGCCACATCTCTGAACATGGGGGAGGACGAGGACGAGGACGCGGACATGTAGGTGGGTTCCGGCATGGACGAGGACAGGGAAGAGGATGAGGACATAGAGGACGATGCCTGGGTCTTCAGGAGCTGTTATCTTTTTATTTCGTTTTCAAATGTATCGCGAAAACTCCATCCTCGATGATTTTGTATGTTTTCGAGCACGCCACGACGCATCTCTAGTGTGCAGAAAGTGCAGAAAGATAAATCAAGGATCCCCACCAGACTCGACTCACAGGATGTTATTCACGCCGTGCATGTATGCCCGCCACCGCATAATATGTGTGTGTGCCGATAATATGCCCGGTCACTGTGTGATATGTATTATTCTCGAGGGGCCGGACGTCGTCGCCGAAAAGATGGTGGTTGCGCGTGGCCAGTGCTGGAAGAGTCAGTAAGAGGTAAACCATCTGTCAAGCCGTCGACGTCTAAAACATCCGCTCGCATCCATTCGTCGCTCTCATTTATTAGTCATTACATACAGAGGTATCGTAGGGCCGTATCCAGCTCTACTAACCCTTGGCATGTCGTCCGCAACTTGAGGCACCGATACGCCACATGCGTTCGTGTAGAGGCATATAATGAGTACCTCGATATCTTGGCCTTACTGGCGGAACCATGGGCTAGTTTGGCGAGCGAGAGCGCCGACGCTGCCGCCACCGATGAGGAAATGATGAATGGCGAGACGAGCCACATGGGAGGCGGAGAGAAGGGACAGATGATGAAAGTTAAGGCTCACAACAGGGCGGAGAAAATGGAGGAGGACGTGGACATGGAGGAGGGTGAGGAAGAAGATGAGGCCTAGTAGGGCGCCGGGAGCAGTTATCTTTTTCTTTCTTTCTTTCAAATTAATCGCGGACTACTACATCCTTAATGATTTTGTCTTCTTTCGAGCTCGTCTCGATGCACCCCAGTTATGTACCAGATAGTTGTAGGGTCGTAGCTAGCTCTACTCACTATGTACCTACTTGCAGGCTGTGTGTTCGAGACGGCTTTACACAACATGCGTTGCTGTAGATATGAAACTCTTGGCCTCTGCTTACAAACCTGAAAAGGCTTACACACGGCAGGCAAGCTGTCGTAACTACCTGCTGCATCGTGGGTCCTAGGGCGGCGCTGCATGCGCATCACTCGCCTCGGGTGACATCTGATGCCGCCACGGTAGCGAAAAGTTTCAATTACGACTCAACGGCGATTCAGCTTCAGCACCTCGTAAGATTACGCTTCGCTACTACTAAATCTCTCCCCCCCAAATTCTTATCTCTGTCTCTCTCTCTTTTCTTCCTCCTACAATCCATCCGACGATCAATAACACCAACCGATCAACAATTGTCTACTCCAAACCATCCGAACCAATAACCTCTGCAATTCCCTCGCCGAGAGAAACCATGGCCACCCCTACCACCCCCACCATGGATACCGCGAGCCCCGCCTCCGCCGACAACGACAAGGCCCTCGAGTTCTTGGCCGGACTGGCTGAGCTCATGGATAGTATGGCGAGCGGGAACGGAGCCGAGGCTGCCGACGCCGATGAGCAGATGGACATGGACATGGACATGGAAGTGGCGATGCAGCTGGACTTTTGGATGGGGATGAAGATGGATACAGATGTGGAGATGGGGATGGAGGAGAAGATGAAGAAGATGGAGGTCACGGCGGACGACGAGGACGAGGAAATGGGGGAGCAAGAGGACGAGTACGAGGACACTGAGAGGGGCGCGGGCATGGACGAGGATGGGGACATGGAGATGTGTGCGCACATGATGATCAAGGACATGGAGATAGCATAGGGCTTCGGGAATTGTTGTCTTTTTTTTTCTTCTTCCAATATTACCATAAATACCCGCATCTTCAATGACTTTTTTTATATCCTTTCAATCTCGTCAAGAGTGGCGACGCCGCGATAGTTATTTACCAGATACATGTAGTAGTTACCATAGGCTTGTAGCCAGGTATAAATATTGAGATGCCGACCGCGGTCCGGCACCGATATGCAACATGCGCTCCTGTAAAAATGGAAATTTTGGTTTCTCCGTGCTGGAGTATTTGTCCGAATGGAGGCTATCGTACTTACCCGCTGCTCCGTGCTTCAAAAGACAGAGATCATCAATTTATTTCGCATACCTCCTATCTACTTAGCCACTATGCGCTTTGTTTTTTCTTTTTGTTCTTTAATTAGGTACACCGCGCTTCTCCGGCAGCGCTTCACAATATATCACTTACAGCGAGTGACATCAAACGCCTCGACGGTGGTAGCGGCAAGGCTCACTAACGACTGAACGGCGATTCAGCTCGAGCACCGAGTGATTTGTCTTTTCTGCACGCGAGAGCTCTCCACTCCAACTATCTCTCTCTTCCTCTCTCTCTCTCTCTCTCTTCTTCCTCCTACACCATCCATCCGACGATCAATAACCCTCGACGATCAATAACCCTCGACGATCAATAACCCTCGACGATCTATAACCCCCAACGATCAATAACCTAACGATCATCAAATCTCTACTCCAAACCGTCCGAACCAACGACCGTAACAATGGCCACCCCTACGACCCCCACAATGACGACTTTCGCCTCCACCTCCGCCTCGCCCTGCAACGACAAGGCCCGCGAGTTCCTGGCCGGAATGGCTGACATGATGGATAGTTTGGTCAGCATCGGAGCCGAGGCTGCCGACGCTGATGAGATGGACATCGACGTGGACATTGAGATCAATATCAACATGGGGATGGACATGTGGGTGGACGAGAAGATGGATGATATGGAGGTCACCGCGGAGGACGAGAACGAGGACATGGGGGAGGGCGAGTACCAGGACGGAAACATGGAAGTGGAAGCGTGAATGGATGGGGACGAGGATATGGAGGTGGATGCGGACATGGACGAGGTCATGGAAGAGGCATAGGCCGGAGGGAGCTACTTTTGTTACGTTTTCAATATTACCATAAATATCCGCATCTTCAATGACTTTTTTGTATCCTCTCGATATCATCACCTGTCGCAACGCTGCGACAGGTATTTACGAGATTTACAGTTGTCGTAGGCTCATAGCCAGCCATAGTAGTGACCATAGATATGCGGGCTGCGGATCGAGACAGCGATACGATACATACGCAATACGTATTCCGTAAAATTGGCATTTTTGACTTCCTGTCCTGGAGCACTGGTGCTGAGTCCAAGCTGTAGTAACTACCTGCTGCATGGATGTGGTTCTCCGAGGGCGCTGCATGCGGCATCACTCGTAGCGAGTGACATCACATGTCTCATCCCAGCTGCAAGCCTCAATAGCGACTCAACGGCGATTCATCTCTAGTACCGAGTGGGCTTTCGCTTCGCCACCACTAGATTACTCCCTTGCAACTTTAGTTCTCTCTCTCTCTCCCTCCTACACCATCCATCTGACGATCAATAACCCCCCACCGCCACAACAAAATTACAATTCTCTACTACCAACCATCCAAACCCGCAACCTAGACAATTCCCACAACGGCAGACACAATGGCCACCCCTCCCTCCTCCGCCATCCAGACTATCGCCCCCTTCTCCGCCTCCAACGACAAGGCCCTCGATTTCTTGGCCGAGCTCATGGATAGCTTGGTTGGCGTCGCAGCCAAGGCTGCTGACGAAGATGAGATGGAGTTGGACATGGAGAATGAGATAGGCATGGGTATGGACATCGAAATCGAAATGAACATGGAGATGGGGGTGGGAATGGAGGAGAACATGGAGGATATCCAGGTCAGGTCGGGGGACGAGGACGAGGACATGGGGGAGGACAACAACGACGACGAGGACAAGGACATGGAGGAGGAGGAGGTCATGCAGAAGGGCGAGATAATGAATGAGGCATAGGCCCGTGGGAGCGTTTTTTTCTCTTCTTTTTTCAGTATTACCATAAATAACCGTATATTCAATGACGTTTTTGTATCCTTTTGATCTTATGATGAGTCGCAACGCCGTGTCAGTTATGTACCACATACATACTAGTTAGTTGTTATCATGGGCTCGTAGTCAGCTCTGCTCTACTCTTGTAGATATCCTATTCTGTCGGCACTCTAGTCTCGGTTCCCCTGCGCTGGCGGTGTGTGCTTGCGCGGCGGGATATTGGGCAGTGTGGCCGGGATCTGGTGTTCTCTCTCTCTCTTTCTCTCTCTCTCGTTCTCTCGTATTTCATTCCCATTATCCGCGGGCTACCGCCGCCCCGGCTACGTTCCATTCGATCGGCCTAGTTTAGCCGACTTCAACATCAATCGCGGCGGCGGTGTACACCCCTTCACTCTTCCGCCGCCGATAAATAACTCGTGGCGATTGCGATTGCGAGATACATCTTCAGTTTATATCGCATGTAGCCCTTCTAGCCTATGACGGACTGGCACTCCTTCCCTGCCCACTCTGGCCGGCCGGGAGTTGAGACCCCGCCACCAGCCAGCACGATGTGGCGACGCTGCATGCCAAACCAAAAACACCATACGGAGCTGCACCCAGGAGATTTAGGTACCTACGTACTTTTCTTTATTTCTTACTTCCTCGTAACGAGCGCAGACACAGTACTGTACTGCTCCGCGCGTCTCCGGCGTCACCTCACACTACAGCACTTGATGCGAGTGACATCACATGCCTTTTGGCAGCGACAAGGTTCTATAACGACTGTCAATGGCGATTCAGCTCTAGCTCCGAGCGTTTTGTCCTTTGGCTACTCGCGATCCCTCCTCCCAAACCCCCCCCCTCTCTCTCTTTCTATCTATCTCTTTTTCTTCCTCCTACAACATCCATCCGACGATCAATAACCCCCACCATATAACAATTCTGTACTCCAAACCGTCCGAGCCAACACCCTCAACAATAAAATCAGCGAACTACACAATGGCCGGCACCATCGCCCTCAGCATCAAGACCGCCAGCCCGGACGCCGCCGACGCCGACAACCAGATGGACGTTGGCATGAAGACGGACATGGACATAGAGATGGGCATGGAGATGCACATCCGGATGGGGATGAAGATGGATAATCGATATGGAGATGGGGATGGAGGAGAAGATGGAGAAGATGGAGGTCATAGCGGTCGACGAGGACGAGGACATGGGGGAAGAAGAGGACGAGTACGAGGTCATGGACGAGGGCGAGGCCATGGAGGAGGGTGTGGGCATAGACGAGGGCGAGGCCATGGAGGAGAGTGTGGGCATGGACGAGGAGATGAAAGAGGTATAGGCCTCAGGGAGCATTTTTCTTTTTCAATATTACCATAAATACCCGCATTTTCAACGAAATTTTTGTATCCATTCGATCTCGTCAGGAGTTGCGACGCCGCGGCAGTTATGCAGCAAACAGGGCTGTCAACCGTCCGTCCGGACTACAGTCCACTAGTGGACTATAGTCCCATCCCGTCCCGGGCAGGCTATCCAGAGAACTGATCCATTCCGCCCGGAGGATGGAATGCCTGGATACCCGCCAGGTACCTATAAGTACCTAATAGCACTAGCGTGCTATGCTGACTACTAGTTTGCGAAGTAGTATGACCACCAACAGAATTTTCAGACTCGAGCAGAATTTTCAACGTCGTCAAACAATCGACCTCAGAGGATAGAAACTGCTGTTAGTAGGAATAGGGATGACGTGAAAGTTCTGTACCGTGAGAGACACTTCGAAATGGAGCCGCACAGCCACACATCCCCACACCGGCGCCACTGTGTAGCGCCACGCCGCTTGCATTGTCCTAGTGTTCCAGTCAATTCCGGGCCCTGTAGGGTATCCGTCCTCATTTCTCCAACCCGGAAGACTGTAGTCCCCGGTCTCCTTAGCCCGACTAATTCCGTCCCGGGCCGGGCAACCTCAAACACGGACGGGACGGACGGTTTACAGCCCTGCGGCCGATGCGAGGAAGTTGGTGAGGAGGATAAGCAGTGATTGGGTGTGGAGCGGAAGCAGAACACAGTGGAGAGACGCCACCGGGGCTTTCACCTTGACTGGCCAGGGCGGGCAGGAAACGGAGTTCGTGGGTTCGCCATAGTCTAGATACGCGGCATGCGGAATAAAACAGAAAGATCTCACTCTCGATCACAACCAGCAGTTTCGACCCACGACGAATTCGCGCCGGATAGTCAAGCCCCCAGCCACGACTGCCTAGAACTACAAGCAATCACGAAGAACGGCACGGTTTTTTTACTTTTTTACTTTTTTTCTGGATTTCTATTTAAAAAAAAAGATGACAGACATTACACCCTTCCATAGTCTCCTTGTCCCACCATTGGAAAACCTGGATCCGCCGGTCACTAGGAAAAGGTATGGACTCAATTGCAACTACACTCGAGCCTGGAAAATACTCGAGGCAGAGGGGAAGGGGGGAAAGGAATTATCGAGGAAGCAACGTAGAAACAAAAGGAAAATGAGGACCTACCTTACAAGGAGGCCATATAGACCTCCTCGAGCCGCTGTCTGACCTCTTGCAGCCACACACGCCCCTCTTCCAGCGTTGCCAACATGTACACCTCCGCCTAGTGTCGCAGTTGCTCCAGCTGCTGCCATCGCTGCTCGCAGAGCCAGATGAAAGACACCCCACCCATACGAAGCAACTCAGGCTGCTGCTGAGCCCACAAGACCAACCTCTGGTACGTCTCCAGCAGGCCGGCCTCGCTCTGCGTGTTGGCCACAGCTAGTGCCTCTGACAGGTAGTCGTATTGAAAAGAGACAATACGCTCGTACTCACGCTCATGGAGCTGGTACTCCTGCAGAAGTTGCTGCCGCAGCGTCATCAGAGGGGCGCTGCTAGGTTCCGGCTGCTGTTGCGACTGCCGCTGCAGCTCTTCGTACCGTCGCAGCGCTTGGACCTGCCGCTCCCCGTAGATCATCAGACCCGTCTCGAACTGCTGCTGTTGCTCGGTCTGGGTGAGGAACGTCGGAGGCGCGGACGAGATCACTTGCTCAGGTACCGGTGACTGTTCCCTCTGAGATTGAGCCTTCAGCGGCTGTGGCTGGACGGGGGTAGAGGCTGGCCCGGGAGCAGAAGTAATCGGCGCAAATTGCACCTAAGCCTGGGCCAGAGCTTCGGCCTTCGCTTGCGCGATAGCGTCAGCTGTTGCCCGCTTCTTTGCCAGAAGCCGGGCCTTCTTCTGCTCCGCCTGGACTCTGGCTTGCGCCCGAGCCTGAGCGTCAGCATTTGCTTTCGCAATTCCCTCAGCTGTGGCGTTTGCCAGCCTCTGCTCGTCCGCATCACGGGCAGGTTCCCGAGCTTTGGCATCCGCTTATGCTTGGGCTTGGGCAGAAGCCCTCGCCTTTGCATCAGCTTCCGCCTGAGCTCGATCACGAGCCTCAGCTTCCACCTATGCCTACTTCTGGCGGGCCACCTTATCAGCCTGTGCGCGAGCACGAGCCTCAGTGGCCGCCTGAGCCTTGGCTGCCGCCTCTTTCTGGAGGTCCATTTCACGGGCCCATGCCCGAGCCTTGGCCTCTGCTTCTGCTTGGGCTTGGGCAACAGCCTTCGCCCGCACATCCGCTTCCGCCTGTGCCCTAGCACGATTGGTCTCAATTTCCTCCATTGCCTGACGCTGGAGCTCAGCATCACGAGCCCGCGCTTGAGCCTGAGCATCCGTTTCCACCAGAGCTTGGCCAAAAGGCCCTGCCCTCGCATCCGCTTCCACCTGCTGCCTAGCACGAGCCTCAGCATCGGCCCTGCCCATGATCACCGCTTCCGCGAAGTTTCTTGGCTTGGACCTTGGATTGATCTCCCAAGTCAAGATCTGTCTGAAGGCTCCGAGGACTTTCGTCTTCGTCGGCTTCGACAGATCCGTCCGCGTATCGGCCATCTTCTTCATCTGCCGAATCTCATCTGCTAGCAGTGCGACAGCCACAGTGTTCCCCTTCTTCCAACAATCTTGGGCGGCCACCACGAGCTCTTCAGCCCGCTTTACCAGGCCCCTGTCGCGCAATTCGGTCAAGGCCGGAGGTGGGGAAAACCCAGAGACCGGCCGACGCGAATTCTCCGCGTGCGGTAACTTGGCGCCGTCTGGATCCTCGGTCGCCCGTCTCTTCGACCCGGTGCTAGCACCAGGGTGGACGGCGTGACCGGGACCAGGAACGGACGCAGGTGTTGCTGGGGGGGCAGAGGGGGGAGGAGGAAGAGGAGGGGCTGGGTGTTGACTTGCCGTCCGGGACGTCCACTTTGCGGGTGGATCCCCTTCAGGTTCGTCCGTCGCAGTTCTTTTGAACATGGTGGGGGTGGGGGAAATGTGTGGAAAAGTGAAGATTGTAGATGGTGGGGGGGGGGAAAGTGGTCAAATGGGTGTGCGATGTAGAGAAAAAAAGAAGAGGAGAGGAGGGGTGGGGATGGGGCTTTTTATAGTTGAATCTGCTATCGGCGAAAACCTGTTTTCGACCTCAACTAGCCGTTGCAGCCCTTCATGTGCTGTCACTCGACACCTGAAAAACTATTTGGCCGACAGTCAGATGACTGAGGCCACGTGGAGCAAGATCTCCATGCCCTAGAGAGGTAGTAAGAAATGCATCAATGTTCACATTGATGGCAGCAATATTCTCCCGCTATTTGTGGACAGTATCATGATAATGCCTGCCGTGGCTGGAGGCACCGATACGCAACATGTCAAACTTTGGATCGGCGGCCAAGCTTAGGCGGCGCCTCAGTTTTGAAGTGAGGTCTCGCCGCGGATGATATTACGTTCTTCTTTTTCTCGGTATCAAATAAGGTATCTCCTCCTGTCTACCGAGATCATCCAACGCAACATGCGCTCCTGTAGAAATGGAATTCTTGATATCTCCGTAATGGAGCATTTGTACCGAATGGCGGCTATCGTACCTACCCGCTGCTCGGTGCTTCAAAAAGTAAAGATCATCCATTTATCTCGCATACAGCCTAACTCCTTAGCCACTATCCGCCACTTTTTTTTTCTTCTTCTTTCATTGGGTGCTCCGCGCTTTTCCGGCAACGCTTCATAATGCATCAGTCAATGCGAGTGACATCACATGCCTCGCCATAGCGACCAGCGTCAATAACGACTCTCAACGGTGATTCATCTTCGACACATGGTGAGCTTTTGCTTCACCGCCACTAGACTTCTCCTCCCCAGCTTCCTCTCTCTCTTTCTCCCTTTCTCTCTCTCCTCCTCCTCCTACAGCATCCATCCGACTTTCAATAACCCCCCACCGCAACAACACAATTACAATTATCTACTACCAACCATCCAAACACACAACCTCCACATTTCACCAAACGCCAGACACAATGGCCACCGCTACCACCACTACCACCCACACCATCAAGACTTTCGCCTAGGCCTATCCCTCCAACAACAAGGCCGTCGATATCTTCGCCGAGCTCATGGATACCTTGGTTGGCGTCGGAGTCAAGGCTGCCGACGCAGACGAGATGGAAATTGACGTGGAAGTTGAGATTTATATGGGAATGGTGATGGAGATTGATATGAACATGGAGATGGTGATGCGGATGGACGAGAAAATGGAGGATATGCTGGTCAAGGCGGAGGACGAGGACGAGGACATGGCGGAGGATGAAGAAGAGGACGAGGATATGGTCGCGGGTGCGACTATCGACGAGGATGAGGACATGGATGAGGGTGATGATATGCACGAGGGCGAGATCATGGATGAGGTATAGGCCTGAGGGAGCGTTTTTTTCTCTTCTTTCTCAATATCACGATAAATACCCGCATCTTCAACAATTTGTTTTGTATCCATTCGATCTCGTCACGAGTCGCGACGCCCCGCCAGTTATCTGTCAGATACATACTAGTGTTATCGTGGGCTCGTAGCCAGCTTTAATCTACTCTATATATCCTGATTCCTGGCTGGTCGGATCTCGAGTCTCGGTTGGATCTCCAGTGCGAGCGAGCGAGCGAGCGTGCGTGCGTGCGTGGGGGAGCCCGTCGCGCCTGGCGCGACAGGCGTGTAGAATACGAGGTACTTACAAAGTAGTTATTGTAGCGCCGCATGCTTTCCCGTAAAAATTGAAATAGAACTTTTGGTTTCTCCAATATATAGGAAGGTATGAACATACGGAATCCAAGCTGCCGTACAGAACTACCCACTGCTCCGCGCTTCTCCGGCGGTGCTTCACAATGCATCACTCCAGTCGAGTGACATCACAAGCTCCTTCGCCGCGACAAGCCTCACTAACGACTTTCAACGGCGATTCAGCACCAGCACCGATTGATTTGTCTTTTTTCTAAGCCCGATCTCTCTTCCCCAACTTCCTCCCTCCCTCCCTCTCTCCTCTTCCTCCTACATCGTCCATTGCACGATAAATACCCCCGACGATCAATATCCCCCAACGATCGATAACCGCCAACGATCAACAACCCCCGACGATCAACAATTCTGTATCTCAAACCTTCCAAACCCACCACCTCTGCATTACAATCCGCGACCGAAACAATGGCCACCCCTAACAACACTACCATTCCCACCGTCAAGACTTTCGCCTCCGCCTCTGCCTCGCCCTCCAACCACAAGGCCCGCGAGTACCTGGCTGGACTGGCCGACATGACGGATAGTTTGGTCGGCGTCGGAGGAGAGGCTGCCGATGCCGACGATTGGATGGAAATCGACCTGGAGATCGAGATGGCCGTAGGTATGGAAATTGACATCGCGATGGATATGGAGATACAGATGGGGAGGGAGGAGAAGATGGCGGATATGCAGGTCACGGCGGACGGCGAGGACGAGGATATGCGGGAGGACGACAACGGCGACGAAGACGAGAACATGGAGGTAGTTGCGGGAATCAACGAGGATGAGGACATGGAGGTGGATGCGGGCATGGATGAGGTCATGGAGGAGGCATAGGCCGGATGGAGCCACTGTATGTTACTTTTTCAATATTACCATAAATGTCCGCATCTTCAATGACTTTTTTTTTTCCTTTCGAGCTCGGCGCACTGGCCGCGAAAGTTATGTAAAATAACAGATCCTTACGAATTAGTTATTGTAGGCTCGTAACTAGCTCTACTAACGATCGACTGATCGGCAGCGGCTGGAGGCACCGATAGGTGCGCAACATGCGTTCCAGGTGAAGAATATATAGAACCTCTGCTTTCTCCGAACATACACGAAACTATGTACATACGGGACCCAAGAGACGTACAGAACTGCCCGCTGCTCCGCGCTTCTCTGGCAGCGCTCCACGATAGATCACTCCGCCCGAGTGACCTCACATGCCCCCACGGTGGCAGCAGCTAGTGTGAATAACCATTTTCACTGGCGATTCAGCTTCAGCACCGGGTGGACTTTCGCTTCGCCGCCACTAGACTTCGGCTCCCCAACTTCTTTCCTCTCTCTCTTTCTTCTTCCTCCTTCACCATCCACCAGAAGATCGATAACCCTCCACCGCCACAAAATAATTCTCTACTCCAAACCGTCACAACCCACACCCTCAATAATACAATCAGCGAACTACACAATGGCCAACATCACAGCCCCCACAACCAAGACTTTGGCCTCCGCCTCCGCTGCCAAAGACAAGGCCTTCGATTTCTTGGCCGTGCTCATGGATAGCTTGGTTGGCGTCGCAGCCGAAGCTGCCGACCCTGACGAGATGGAGTTGGACAAGGAGACTGGCATCAATATGGAGATGGGGATGGAGATGCGGATGCAACAGAAGATGGAGGATATGCAGGTCGCTGCGGTGGAGGAGGACGAGGACATAGGGGAGGATGAAGACGAGGACGAGGATATGGAGCTCGGTGCCCGCGTGGACGAGAATCAGGATATGGCGGTGGGTGAGTACATGCAGGATGGCGAGGACATGGAGATGGTCTAGGGCTTCGGGAGTCGTGATCTTCTCTTCTCTCTTACAATAACATTACCATAACTGTAATCTCAATGACTTTCTTTGTATGCTTTCGATCTCGTCACCAGTCGCGACGCCGCGACAGTTATGTACCGGTACATTTACTACCTGTGTAGTAATCCCATGCTCGTAGCCAGCTCTACTCTAATCTGGATATCCTAGATATCCGGTCGGAACTAGACCGTCGAGTCCCGGTTCCCCAGTGCGTGAGTGCGTGTGCGAATTTTACGCCGTGCGATTGGGATCCGCTGATCTCTCTCTCGTATTTCGTTCCCATAGTTCGCTGACTACCGCCATCGCGGCTGCGTTCCGTTCGATCGGCTCCACTCCAGCCGCTTTCAACCGCACATCCCACCACCTCCGCCGCCGACCAATGACTCCTGGAGCAAGCCGGTTCCCCGCCGGCCAACGAGATCGAGAGAAAGCGAGTGATATTCCCGGAGTTACACTGTTATAAATCGCAATAAGCGCCATACAGGTAACAGCTTCATGTTCCGATTACAGCTATACTACCCAGCCCAACGAGGTAGCCAGCCACTGCAGCCTATATACTAAACGCACGGACAACCGGTTCGTATATACAGTCTCCCGCCAGCGCAAAACTGGGCAGCGCAAGAATAACAACCGATGGGAAACTATCCATTGTACAAAAAACGATCCACCCAATTGCCCACCGACGCACCACCGGAATCGGTAGTGGTCGCTGCCTACCAAGCTACGTGCCGCCTGTCTCCGGTTTCCGGCCGATGACGTGCCACCTGTGTCGTACGGTTAGTCTACGCGTAGTAGTTTGGTGATGCGGATGGGGGCGGGGGCGGGGGAGGATGCATACATAACCTGATAAGCGTGAACCTTCCTACTCTCGACATCCGCCTGGGCGTTCTTGCACATGTTCATGACCGTATCCGCGCTGAGGCCCAAGAAGCGGGTCATTGGCGCCATTCCGTAGGACTCAAAGCCGGTTGCACTGTTGAGCGCACCAATGAAGCCGGCCCGTTTCATCTGCGGGTTTTTCGGCCAGCCGCCCCATGGCTGTTTAAACTGTTTTACCTGGAGACACGGGATGTGTCAGCTCGGTGGATAGGTAGCCACGGGGGTGGCTGGTGCAAGCTTACGGTGACGTCGACGAACCCCGCCTCCTCGACCATACGCTTCAGCCCGTCGCCGGTCGGCTGCATCAAGTTCGCGATCGAGATCGCCTTGACGAAGTTCGTCATGTACGTTTCCAGCGCCGAGCCTTTGTACGAGTCGTCGTCGCAGTACGTGTGCGTGCCTATCTCGGCTAGCTCGACGTATCCGCCTCGCTTGGTATGACTGGCGCGCACCCGGTCAGCAGGGGGGGGGGGGGGGGGAGGGGGGGGGGGTGGAAGTGACGACGAACAGGTACATCTGCTCAAGATATTTCCGCCAGTCCCGGATGCTCTGCGCGACGTTGCGCGAGTGGATGAGGTCGAAGTAATCCTGTTGGAGTTAGTCAGTCGGTTGTCGGGGGCGTGATTGGCAGCACGCTGCTGCGGTCATGTGTAGTAAATACCTTGCGGAAGGTCCACTCCCCCTCGAGATCGTCGACTTCGAACCGGACGTTGGGTACCACCCACTCGGGCTGGATGGGGCTCAGATCCACACCGACAACTTCCGCCATTGGGAAGAACTCTCCGGCATCCAGCGCCCAGATACCCGTGCCGGTGCCGCAGTCGAGGATGTGCTGGGGATTGTCGCCGATGGGCGCCACGAAGAGCGAGCCCTTGAGCAAGAGCAGCTGCAGATGGTGGTACATATCGAGACTTCACCAGCACAGATTTAGCTGTGCACTACTGACGACGGGGCGCCAACGCACTGGGGGTACCGACCGGTCTTGCTCCGTCTCGTCGTTGGGCAGCAGGTACTTGCCCTCCTGCAAGCGGTGGTAACGGCGGCCATTCTCGTAGACGTAGTCGACTATGGACGAGGTTATGCTGTGTGTGGAACTCTCGCTACGGTGCGTGTCAGTCGTCGGATTGTGCGGCTCTGGAGTTAGGTGAGAACGTACAGGGTGGAGGAGTAGTCCGAAGACGAGAATTCCGGATCGGTGTCGACTTCCAACTAGACACCGTCAGCGCCACGGACAGCACGGGTACCTCACGTTCGCGACAGGTGGACATACCGGTAGGTGATCGGCGACGTCTGCTGCTGCTGCCATATTTGAGAGAGGTGGTGGAGGTTTGGCGGATTGTAGGGTGGGGGGAGGGAGGGCTTCGGGTATCCGGCGGCTAACAAGGGATAGAGACCGATAAGTGAGGACAGAGATGAACGGCACGGCGGCAACAGCGTACTTATATATATATCGGGGGGGGGGGTGGGGGGGGGGGGGGGGGGTAAGCGCAGCCTACCTTCCTGGGAGGGATGCGCAGGACTACGCCAATTCCGATCCACGACGGTGCCGTGTCGTGCAGCATGCAGCATTGATAGTGGTTCCCGGCTTGGCGGTCCAGATACCGGGGCAGCGCCACACACCTGCATATGACGGCGATGGGGGCGTGGAACAGACTTTTTGGAGCGTCCTCCGCGTGTCCCCGTGGTACTCTATATACAGGCCAGCCGTTTCGGTGCGTGTCTCGACCGAATGCCTTTGTCTCCAGTCCACAGTCTTCCCAGATCGGCGTGAGCTGGAGTAAAAGCAACTGTCTTGGTGACTGCACGTATGGGGACCAGTGCAGCAGAGAAATTCCGGCTGCAGTGCTGGTAGCGGGTGAATTTTCGCATCGGATGTTCTGCCGCGGTTTTCAGGCAGTGCCTCACACAACATCACTCGCAACGAGTGATGAAATATGCCTCGACGCCGGCGACAAGGCTCAATAACGACTAGACGGCAATTGAGTTCCTGGCATCGCATGATCTTCACACCCCCCTTTGTCTCTCTGTCTTTCCGTGTTTTTCTTCTTAATCACCACCGCCAAACGCTCCAGACACTAAGTAAACACCACACCGAGAATGAAAAAAGCGAAAACCACCACTGCGAGTCTACGGCAATTGTCACAATCTCAAAGAAGGCTATTGCTTCCATTCCTACCACCTCCACCCCCACGCCCACACCCACTACCGGCAATAACGCCACCCTTGAGGCAAGCAGAAGCTCCCTCGACATCTTTGATTTCTTGGCCGAGTTGAAGACCTGCTTCAACTCTCGAGGACGACGAAGATGACGTCGCGTCAACGAGGACCAACAGGAGGACAACTGTGTAAATATATTACCATGATTTATTTGGGTCGCAAGCAATTACTGATTAAACAAAAAACGTATGATCCGTGGGCTGTGAGCGATAAAGTGCTACATAGTGGAACGGACTGCACAGTGCACCGTGCGCATGGACGGCGCAGTGCGGCCGAAAGAAGCTTAACGTAGGTAGGCGGTTGACCCTTGCTCGGCAGTGACCACATCACTCCATACCGGTACTTCGGTACGGTCTTCCCCGCGGATCGGCGTACACTGGAGAGCGGTCGGTAGATACATCATACATCATAATTCTTTACCCAACTCAATCTTATCCTTGCCACGTGGGTGCCACACGGCGGTGACGGGATGAACAGATACCAAGATCCTCATGCAGCACAGCGTAGTAAACGTAGGTACTGCACCCGTCGGAAATCTTTTCATCCACCCCGTTCTTCTAGACGTTCGTTCCCAGCACTGCGCAGTCTTCAGTCTCCCTACTAGATACCACGCTTCTCAGCTACAGGCCTGGTAATCGTCCGTCCCGTCCGTCCGAGGCTGTGCCCCGGGCGAGACGGAATTTGTCGGGCCCGGAATGTCAAGGACTATAGGTCTCCGGGCAAGCCGGAGGACGACCGGGCCCCATTCGGGCCCGGAAACTCTGGCGCTAGTACTAGCCTTGGGCAGTGGTGTAGTGGCGCAGCAAACAGGAATGAAGCCAAGGAGTTGGCAGCACGGCGAGAATTAAGGAGTTGGCAATGGGTACTCCCGTATGCGATCTGATGCAACATTTTCACCTGCCAAAGTTTTCCAGATAGCCGGCACCGTACACTCAGTAGCCGGCTGCTTCCGCACTAACAATTTCCGGGCCCCAATAGTCTTCCGTCCGGACGGACTATTCCCAGGCTTGCTCAGCTATGCGGTGACCGGTGCGAACCAGCGCTACATACCAACGCCAGCGGCTCGCTAAGTGGTTCGCCAGCGAGGTGTTAACTAGGACAAACCCTATGTCGATGCTCCACCGTGCAGAAGCGAAGCAACGACTCCGAGGCGCGGCGCGGCCCTGAATGAGGATTGGCAGATGGGGGCTAGGGCTGCGTACTAGCAGTGGGCATGGCCGTGGATAGGGACTACTACCATACGCCACGGGGCGTGCCGAAGAATTTTCGGCGAAGGAATGTTTGATTTCGTCGAGCAACGAGCACCGAGTGACGTCAATGATCGATCTCTCTCTCTCTCGCGCGCACATGCGCTGTGACAAAATAAATGCCATCTCTAAACGGAAATCGCAAGGTCACATCGAGCTGAATCCAACCGCCCGAAAGCTCCCCTTTTATTCCCTCACTCCTTGCGTAAATATGTTCCACCGAACAAAAAATGCAGACAACAACCAGTTTTCCATCCATAGCATATCACATCCCCAGCCACCGCAGCCACTCGGGCTTTGCCGTTCCTACCTCCTGATACCGCAGAAAGTACACAGAGAACGACCATGCCAGAGTCAGAATCTCAAACGCCGCCCTCCAAGTTGAAAATGCTTCGTTTAATTCCCATCTCTGATATATCGTGTCCACCTTCGGCAGCGGTACGTTGTCGTACACCTTTGTAAAATCCAGCGCCGGCCTCATAAAAAGACACATACCAACTATATTCGGGCTCATGTATCTCTGGAAGCCATCAAAGTCCAGAAAAGATAGATGACTTACCGCCATCCACCCCCATGGGACCACGACCGATTTCAACGTAGGGACATCCCAGTCCCGAAAGTTTATGGCGATCCCACAGAAACACCAGGCGACCATCAAAGGAAAAGGTACTAGCGCCCCTTGCTCCAGCGGATATCGGATGGCACTTTCTACACCGATGCTGACGGCGATAATCGCGAGCCACCAGAGAACATCCAACAAGATGCAGTCCGCAATTGTCGACACACGCCGGAGGCACTCGTGCACCTCCTCTTAGTGTATGGAGCTTGGACCGTCTTCCACAGGAACCAACACCAGCAGGCCCTGAATCGCCATCCAGGGGAAGATATACATGAACCCGCAAGCGACGAACGCTGGCGACCCCGAAACGACGCATATTTTGGCGAATATGAAGGCCACCGGGATGAACGCGAGGGCCTCGGTGCGGCGGACCTTGCAAGTGACGAACTCGTAGTCGATGTCGCCGCAGGAGCCGTCGGAGTCGGTGTAGTTTCCGCTGCGGATGAGGAGCAGGGCGCCGGCCGTTGACTGATAGGGGCGTAGGGCCCGGCGGAATCGCGAGTCGCGGCGGTGGGCCGATCTTGCTAGTTGCTGACGTCGTTTGTGTCGTCCGCTGCGCCAAGGTGGAGAGCGAACATCGCTGCTGCGGGGTGGAAGGGTTGCCAAGGGCGTAGGGAAGGTGATTCCTCGCGTCGGCAAAATATTCTCCGCGGAATCCAGACGAGGCAGCAGATGATGATCGCCAGGTCATCATCGGCGAGATGGGCGACAGCGCCAGCAGCCAAGCTCGATTTCCCGGATACAGAACCGACCCGTGCGGCTGAGTCAAGGAATAGGACTAGAGCGCCAAGAAGGTCGAGAACACATTGGCCTTGGAGAGGACCGGGGGTGTGCGAGGTTCGTCGGGTTGCGGGACGGCTATTCGATTCGAGGCGGGATCGACTGGGCGTCCCATAATCACCGTTTCTTCCGTGAGGACGATCGATAGAAGAATGGCACAGCATAAGAGAGGCCGAATGTGCTCCCGCATTGTGAATGTTGTCCGTGCAGTTGATGAGGAGAATAAAGGGGACCCTTGGGTGCGGAGTGGGCGAGGCGAGTGAAGGTTTCCTTTACTTCACGACAATGGAAAGCAAAGGGCTGATAAAGCGGCTGAAAGCGACTGAGCCTGAAGAAACATGGTGTAGATGAATCATGATAGTTGATTGGGTTTGCTCCCCCCTACGGAAGCACTGGAGCTGCCCCAGCCACCAAGCTAAGTCTGTATTGGCTCCCCTGACAATGACACTGCCGGCAACGATGTGTTTCCATTCAAACCGAATAGACTTGACAGACAGACAGGCATCGTCGTGTACAGTCCCAAAGAGCACAGACTTTCACTCTTCACTTTGAGGTTATGATTCTGTGGTATACTATGGTACATATTACTTTCTATTCTGTGGCTGCGGTGTTCGAGAGGTCTACATGTGTGGTGTGGTGGTATCGTAAGGGCGAGTGGCGATAACTTTTGACCTGGTATTTTAGTATAAAAGATTATGGGACATTAGAAGGGCTCCTAAGCTAGGTGGAGAACCTTGATTGAAATCGACACACAATTCTAACTCGTTGTGGTTGAATACCTAACACCGTATGGGAAAAAAGCAGTTGGTGTTGACACTGGTTGTCACGCAATAATTTTATATGAGGGCCCCATACTTTTTTGAAACACTCGATTTTTTTTCCGCCTCGTGAAGGGTGGGTTTTGGTTACTTGAAACTGGGCATTTTTGGTGTAAAATGGCCCCTATTCAAAAACGTTTGACCCAGGTTGTACTTTGTTGGATGGAAAAGGCAAGATGCGGTAGATAAGATAAAGAACAATGAAATTGGGCTCTGGAACAAGATGTGCAGGCCCTGGAGAGAATAAGGCTGCGGGGTTTGGCGCCAACATCCAAGGAGTGAGCGGCCCCGACTTGCAGGCGACGGAGAACTGGAAGTCGATGAAAGCTGCAACCGAACAGCATACTGTAGTACTAGGACAGAAAGGATTGGACAGAGCCCATTTGACACCAAAAATGGACATTTCCAACCCCCGATACAACAGCCCGAACGTATCGGAAGAAAATTAGAAACCATCGAGAGATCTCCACAAATACACTTACAACAATGTGAGAGCTCGGCATTCAGTTTTGAATTGTCGGTGTTGAGAAATACCATGTCGCGGAAAAGCTAATGGTCGGCAGGTAGCTTTTTGTATGGGAGCCCCATGCAAAATGTAATGTCACTTTCCAACTCCGGCACAATACAACTTCATAGAGCCCCAACACGTGATGAAAGCCGTCAAAGTTTTACGGATGAAGAAGCTTGTGATTCTTCATCACTGGGTTTTCCGAACAGGTGAAGGGCACGCTTAGGTTGCATGAAAATGGGCATTCGTGGTGTGAAACTGGCCCTGTCCAATTGTTTTTGTTATGGTACTATAGCCACTTCCCGGTTGCAGATTGTTGATCCGACGCCAATTGAGTCTAGAATGGGTAGGGTTAAGCTTACCGAGAGCCGCAGGTCGACACTGTTTGTGGAGAAAACACAATGTGGCAGGATTTATTGCACATCAGCGTACAGTGCTGGCCGCCATAGTATAGGTACCTAGACACATGAGTAGACGAATCTGCGGTTCTGCATCTGCGAGATTACGGATTTCATCCGCGACCAAACTGACTCGCATATTGTGTCTCAGCTGCACGGACAACAGACCTAGCACAGGCGTCCGAGGGGCCCCGCAGTGAAGAATTTGAGGGATGGTGCGTCTGTCAAAAGAGTCCCATTGGCGGGCTAGGTATTTGTTGTTTGCTTCCGAAGACTCGCGTCCACGCCTCCACAGGTTGCCGGTGTCGTGACAATTACAGCTTTACTGTGCTTCTAGACATCCATGTTGTGTTTCAGTATGGCTCCCATATCCGTAGCGTCGGGCAGATATAGTGATAGCGTCCGCCGCGAGCCTGATTATGCACGATATCTGTGAGCGATCCGGCCTGGCGAAGGAACCCTGAACCGCAGAACTTATTCGTCCCCCCTCACAACTAGCACAATGAGCACAATACAGCATCTCAGCGTGATCGTCACACTGGGGTTTATCGGATTGATCATGGCAATATCGGTGGTCCTGGCTTTCGTTGATGCTTCGGAATCAGCAGCTACATCGACCGCCGCAATCGCTCCACGCTCCGAGGAACAAAGGTTCCAGAGTGGTGTCGAGTTCAATAATAACCTGGCTTCCGATCTCTCGCCGTGAGTTTCGCGACGAGTCCAGATCTTTGCGCCCGTGCTAACATAAATTTTCGCGCAGACTGCTCGCGCTGTAACATCTCTCACATCCACACACTCGCGTGGTGTGTTACTACTATTTTTACTGACAAGATTGCGTGTAGCTTCGGTGAGCGGTTTGCCCAGCAGTTCATGAGCTTCTCAATCGGTTGGCTCGACAGTTTGGTTTTCTCGATGGCCCCGTTGGGTGTCATCACCGCCATCGTCGGTATTTTTGACCGCCGAAATCCCCGGGAATCGACTCGGCTCACATTTGCAAGGCGCGATTAGGCTCGGTGGTCCATCGTCCCTGCGCGGACTCATCGGCCGCGCGAGGGAAACTCGTGCAGCGGCGGAGGTCGAACTGATGTCTTCAACGTCTCACGAAGGTCGGTCGGCAAGAAAGCGATGAGTGAGGGCGAGTTCGATGACTGACACCGGGACGAATAGTCTGCGAACTATGGAACGGCGACGCTATCGTTCGCGTGATGGGATCGCCCCGAATCCAGCAGTTCTTCTTCTTCGAGAATCTTCCCGACAACTATCGCGACGGAAAGCTTACCCAGAATCCAACCGAGACCAAACTTCCAATATTCACTATGTCGGGGGCCCTAGGGAACGTCATCGTCAAGAGACCGAAGCGGAGGTCGCTGTTCAATTGGCACATCACTAAATCAAAGGCGAACGACGACGAAGCAGGGGTCACCGAGCCCACGAAAAATATAGCTCCGAATATTTCCTTGAATCTTAACGTCGAGCAGAAGGCGTGGGAGCTCTACGCAGCCGTCGTGGTTGGCATCCTGACACAGGTTGCCGTGATCGGGATCGCAACCTATACCTCCTACTCACCCGCATTACAGTTCAACAAGGCCGGCCTCATGATCCAAAGCCACTCGTACCGTGAGTATCCAGTCTCATCGAAAATGAGCCTTCTGTGCCATTGCAGATTCCCCCAGAACGATCAAAAAAATGCTGATTCACTCTGATAGCAATGGCTTGCATTGGAACTTTGTTACTCATGACCGGAATGTTTGTAGCCGCCTCGGTTGTGCAGCAGAGTACCGACGAAGAGAAATACGAATTGCACCCCGATCTGCCGAAGAATGTAAAGCTTTTTGTCTTCTGGTAAGCCCCAACAAGAACTACTCGCTCCATGCCACCCGCCTGGACTCCGTACTCACCAGATAACAGGATACAGAAGGGTCGAGTGATCAACGATCAGAATTTCGATTCTTACGCGATCTTCGTCAATGACGCTGTCGATGTCGTCCGCACGTCAAGGCGGCATTCGCTCGAGGATAATTCGGACAGAAATGCAATCCAACACATACAAATTTTCACTGTCTTCGGAACCGTGGCGGCGATCGCCGGGTTTGTTTTGCAGTTCATTGGTCTGCGTGGCCTGCATTGGTGAGTGCCATCGCATCCACTCTTCGCCGAAAGGCCTGGAGGCTGAAATTGATGGGTTTTTAAATTTAGGTCGGCTTCGACGGCACAACTGGCGGCAACCATTCTCATGACGGTAGTGAGAGCATTACTCCGTCGTGAAATCACCACGCGACCTGCCGCTGTAAAGCTGGAAAAAGGCTTCGAGTTGGAGTGGCTCGCAACAAAGCTGTCTGAGCACGAGGGTAGCTTCAAGAAGCACTTTTGCGACCATCATATTGCGAAAGACTTCAGGGACGGCTCCTGGTGTCAATCCAAACAGAAGGTCGCAGATCACAGCACGCCGACCGGCCACCTGTCCGAGCCCCCTGGGGATCGCGTAGTACCGGACGCCCAGGAAGAGACCTCCGATACGATGCAATCGAACCCCGAGGGAACCGCTCTGGCCATCATCCCACGGCACGGCATCCTAGTGCCACCCGCAGTACCACCGGAACCGGCGCCAGTCGCACCCGCTGCACCGCCCTTCGTATCCGCGGCAACAAAATTGGTCGCACTCCGGAAGCATGTCGGCCAACTTAGCAAATGGCCCGGGCCGGCACCCGAGAAGGCGGTCGCTGTGGCCGATGCGATCGAATTCGTTCTGAGCACGCTTTTCCCATCGAGTCCATCGCATAAGTTTACCTGGGATCTGGACGTGCCGGTTGGACGTCACCGTGGAGAAGCAGTTGGTGGACCGGACCCTCCCGAAAACGAGCCCTTATCGCCCGGTAACAATCGCATTCGCCTCACCGCCGATGCGGTTGAAAACAACAAAAACACGGTTTGGAAAGTCAATGCCGACCATATCGAGGCGTTGCTGTCGCTCTGGTTGCGCCATGCTCACAATTCGAACGAAGGACCGCAAGAGCCTGATACGGACCCCAGCAAGTCAGATAAGGAGACGGACTGGCTTCGGAATAAACCGCGAAAACAGAGCATGTTACTTTTGGGTGCTGACACACTCCCTCTTCGGAGAGATCTGAAGTGGTGGGTACCAGGTGGTGCTCCGGAACTCCTGGAAGTGCGCAGAAACACGGAAGTGGCGACCCCGGACGCACAATCCCCGCGAACGGACGGAAATCCGGGTACCACGGCCCCTGACGTAGAACCTAATAGCTACCGGATCGATAGCCATAGGATCACAGGGTTCTCGGGCTTACCGCAGCCCAGTCAGGATAGCGACAGCTGCAAGGACGGTCCGAAAACGATCGACTTCGAATGCCGGGCAGTTTCCCTTGACGATCTGTGGTGTACTTCAGCTCAGAATTCCAATGCGGCTAGTACTGCGGCCTCACTAGGGATCGTGACGACAGCCGGGAAAGAGCTGTTGTACGCGCAACACATCTTTACTGTCTTCATGCTGGCCGTCGCGAAGAAGGCGGAGATAGGCGGGAAGTCCGAAGCTTCTCAAGAAACAGCAACGAATCGTCTCACTGCGTGGCGGAATTTTCGGCTTCAAAACTCCGTGGTTGCTAAGCTGGCACTAGGGATCCAGAATACCGGCCTCGCCAGAAGCCTAGATGAAGCATATCTCTTCGTCATTCCTCCGTTGAGCGTGGAGTCCAAACTGCCAATCGACGCAGCTGTCGACTTAGTTGTCCGGAACCTAGAGCAGCACGAGCACTTGCGTAACTGGGAGAAAGCCAACGAGGCGTATCGCGATATGCTTCAGGTAGCAAAAAAGTTCGGCACCGCTTCGTGTCCATTCCAGCTCAAGGCTATAATCGCCACGGCGGAATATCTCGGCAGGAGAGACAGTCACAGGAAGCACCTAGGATCGCAGGAGGAATTCGATGTGGCGACGAGCTTGACGGAGCTTTTTAGTGATGCGGCTAGATCTTCGTTGCGCATGTTGTATCAGCGCCAAAACAGAGCGACGCATTACGATAAACTCATCGCGAAGGCCGGTAACACCGAAATGTTAAATAATACGATCGATCTTGATAGCAAGACCACGAAGAAAAAGAAAAATTTAGAGGAGGCCGATCTCTCGGATGTGTACTACGGAGCTGGCCGCCACCACGACGAAATCAACCATTCACCGATCCCGGCTCCGGATGATACCGCAAGAATCGGTGAGGAAAAGGACGCGATCCTTGTGGGTGTCGGGTTTAAAGAGTTGTGTGAGATGCTCTCCACCAGGAAAGAGTGCAAGCAGAACGACCTCCAGAGACACGGGAACGGGCAGGATCTTGTTGGGTGGTCGTTGATGCACTATGCGATAGTGCGAAACGATGCTTGCGTTACGTATGAGCTACCATTCATCCACAAATTGTACTGTGCTTACGTGTATTTCTTAGCGAGTTGATAGATGCCAATGCACACCTAAACCTTCAGGACATATCGGGGTTTTCACCGATGCACTTTGCGGTGCAGCAGAAGCTGTCCGACGGTCGAACTTTACTCGCAAGAGAAGCAGATGTTGAGACTTGCGCACGAGACGGCACTTATCCGCTACACTGGGCAACGAAAAGCGAAGATCGATGGGTGGAGGAGTTGCTGAAACATAAAGCACGGGTTGAGGTCCGCGACAACACCAAACGAACGCCGCTCCATTGGGCAGCTTTGGGGGGAAAAAAGGACGCCGTTGTTCGATTGCTGCTGGCTGGTGCTTCACCGAAAGCACAGGATGAACAGCAAATGACACCTCTGCATCTCGCGGCCATTGCCGGTGACTGTGACTGCATCGAATCATTATCCGAAGGTTCCGACGTGGAGGCGAAGGAAAAAAGTCAGAGAACACCACTCATGCTGGCTGTATTGAACGACAATGAAAACGATGGCGCCGTGGAACTTCTCCTGAAGAAGAAGAAAGCTAACATAAAGGCCACGGACGCCGATGGTAGGACTGCCCTCCATCTCGCAGCCTGGAAGGGCCACAATTCACGGGTGGCACTTCTACTCAACGCCCTGCAGAGCCAAGGGAGCGCCGGTAAAGAGGAGGCGCAAGAGGAAACAACCGAAACCCGCAGGATGACCCCACTCCACATCGCGGCGTCTCGTGGCCACAAATCCACAGTAAAACTGCTGTTGGATAGAAAAGCGAACAGCCAAGCAAAGGATAGCGGGGGAAACACAGCTTTATCTATTGCGCTATCGGAAGGACACTCAACGGTGGCAAGGGTGTTGCTGGACGCGATTTTCGGCATTCCCGGCAGGGACGAAGATTTACCGCCCCCATTTGGTTCGGAGACATTTCACCTACCAGAGGTCGCTAATGGCCCACTGCTAAGTGCTGACATGTTGCGGAGCTACAACATCGACATCTTGGCCAAGAACCATGACGGCCAGACGGCACTCCATCTAGCGTCCGCCTGCGGGCAGAAAGGAGTTGTAGCTACGTTACTGGACTGTGGGGTAGATCAGAACGAAACGGATTCTCAAGGGCGAACAGCGTTACATCTAGCAACGTTGAAAGGCCGCGAAGAGGTCGTTAAACTGTTACTTGAACAAGGAGCCAACTTGTATGGCGTGGATACGCACGGGGAAACGGCGCTCCACATTGCGAGCGAGTGCGGACACGTCCCCATCGTACAGCTGCTCCTCGAGAAGGATCAACTAGAGGCGGATAAACTAGAGGCGGATAAACTAGAGGCGGATACGGGAAGAAGTCCGCCGAAAAACCGTGTCTCGTTTATCGACATCCAGAATTCCAGCGGGTCGACGGCCTTGCACCTAGCTGTCCGGACCGGAAACGAAGAGCTTACAAAGCTTCTACTGGATTGGAAAGCCTCGGCCACAATCTCGAACGGTTCGGGAAACACCCCACTACTTATTGTCATCAAGCACACCATTAATGATGTTCCCTTGGTCAAAATATTGCTTGAAACCGGCAAAGCGAACACAGAAGCGAAAGATGGAGACGGATACACGGCACTTCACCACGCCATACGCATCAAAAACATGGATATCTTCAACCTCCTCATCTCGAACGGTGCCGACGTGAACGTCCTGGACAGGTCACGAAATTCGATGTTGCACTTCGCAGTTCAGCGATCCTTTCTAGACGCTGTTAAACCACTTATAGACTCCCGGGTAAGTATTACTTCGCGGAACGAAGCCGGCGAAACAGCTCTACATCTCGCCGTCGAGGGATCCGATGCAGCCATCCTCACCGCCTTACTCGAAGCGGCACCCTGTGCCTCCAGCGAATGCAATCATGACCAATTCTGTGCAATACCCAGCGTTGATGGAAGCACGCCCATGCATTACGCCTTTAATCAAGATTTCTGGTCTCCAACCATAGCCAGGCTTCTCATTGCGCACGGTTCCCCTCTCGAACTCGAAAACCAGTTTGGAAAGACACCAATTGACTATTTAATGAAACAGGATCCAGCAATTTTGGTCGAAGCCATGACTGTGATGCTTGAGGTAGACGGCACAGCGGCAACAGTTCTACGTCTAGCTTCTGCTACTGGTATAGATACGATGGTCGCAAGAGCATTATCGAAAGATGCGTCGATCATCAGCAGCCCAGACAGGCGCGGCAACACTCCTCTGCACTATGCGCTGACGAACGACCGCCACACAACATCTATCAGATTAAAAGTTGAGCACCAAGCCGCAGTGGACAAGCCAAACAACAATGGAGTCACACCGCTACACGTTGCGTGCGATCGAGGGTGCGGTGAATGTATCAAGGAGCTACTTGATTCTAAAGCTCAAGCAGATGCCAAGGACAAATCCGGAAGAACACCTCTTTTCATGGCGTTAACTCAAGGCTTTCGAAATATGAGAGATGGAGCGATCGAGGAGCTTGTGAAGTTATTCTTGGAACACAAAGTCGATATCTCCGCGATAGACAATCACGGTTGGTCAACACGCGACCAAGCCCAGAACCGTGTCCCGGGGCTTCGCCTGGAGCCCACGGTCGACTCTGCCGTATCGCCTCAAACACCGAGCACTTGGAGCACAGAATACAGTCACCCTAATCTGCGAGTGGAAGTCATTGGCCCTGAGATCAACCTGTCAATTGAACCTCAGAATCCCCAAACGTTCAGCTGCGTTGCATGTCGAGCCGATCATCCATTTCCGCCCCAATTCTCCTCAGTTCCGGTGGACGGCGATTCTTCGGAAAACCGTCAGTATTCTAATGCCCCAGCGTACTTCGAAATAAGCGTGGTTCGTATCAGTGGTGACGGGTAGGTTGGTCGGTACCTAGTGCGCCACAAAAGATCGAGGCTAACAGGCTCAGTCTCGTTGGTATAGGACTCTGCCACACGCCATTCCCGTGTTTCACAATGATGCCTGGTTGGTTCCGCGATTCGTGGGGATACCATGGCGATGGAGGTCGTTTTTTTTTAAAGTCGGGGTCTCCTGAAGAGCCACCTGTAGTCTGCAGACTGAAGTATGGTATTGGTGACACGGTGGGCTGTGGTGTGGATGAAGAAGGAAATCTATTCTTTACCAGGAATGGTGAACATCTAGGTAAGCTCGCTAGTAACTGGGATTTCCTGTCGGTTTCGATCTGCATACACTGACCGTGTTTCTATGTAGGTATTGCGAAACGTGGAATGACCGGCCAATTATTTCCGCTTGTCGGTATAACAGCGCGTGGCGGCCAAATCACGGCGAACTTTGGAGCAAAACCATTCAGATACACACCAGACACCACGGGTGGAGAGAAGGCAGAAAAGTTGAGGGATACGGTGCTGAAGGAGGCAACTACCGAAGACATACAAACGCTACCCACTCAAGACGGGAGCCAGTCCGGGGGTGGTTTCCGGCCGATAGAAAGTCCCACCGACAAAAACGTCCTAGTCCTTTCGGCGAATGCTCCTACTGTCGGCCGGTCGGACCCTGAGCGAAACTCCGAGACCAAAGGTGATGGAGGTCGCAATGGTTTGGACGTCGCTGACGGTATTGCAGAAGAACCTGCAAATACCCCGGGCCAGGAAGACGACTTCGCCGAAAACGAACAGCCGAAGCTTTCTTCCAACACTATCAGCCGTCCATCCCCTGTTGGAGGCTCGCCTGAGCAGGATACGCCAGAGGTTGCAGGTGCTGACAGTGGAGGAAGTACATAGTGTATTGATCTCCGTTCCTTGATTGCATTTTTGTTTCTTATATTTCAGTCTTTTTTGCGGTTGATTATTTCTAATGTATACGCTCACCCACTTTTATCGGTCATGTATGTAGGAATCTTTCTTAGCGGGGATCCTCAAGTTTTTGCTTTCGCTCGTCTCTTTCTATTGTTATCGTAAGCACCTGGTATTCAAGACGTAGCTCAGAATGGAATTTATGCGCCGCCGGAAGTCCTCTAAAATTCGCCTAGGTATCTCCTCATGAACTCGCCGTTTGTTTCCCGCAAGCCAATGCCACACTAATTGGAGGAACGGTGGCGCTTTGAGACACATCTCTTTGCCACAGTGACCAAGAAGATGTCGGCACGTCTGTTGTGTCTTGTCTACCAGCATAATCCGAGGAACTTTACGTACTCTACTCATGTAGGATAGAGATGGTGGATAACATCAAGGCGATTGATAAGATACAATAAGATAAGAGTGTGATGAGGCTCGTCTGATCAGCCGGATCGAGTGGTTCCGAACCGAATGGTAAGACACCGACGCTACGCATCTTTAGGTTAGGTAGATACCTAACTACTCCAGGTAACCGGTATGGACAGTTGCAGCGGAGGAACCATGTAAGATGAAACCCCGAAGTTGTATAGGCACTCTAGCACCTCATCTTCTCAATGTATCATCCTTTTTGTTTTCATCGTTCCCGTTCCCGTTTACCGGGCTACGTCAATTCTGGAAAGTGCCTACCTCCCGAAGTTACATCAGAGTACCTTCATAAGTGCCTATCTAGGTCCCTAGGGTACAAGCAATGCGTCAAATACGCATTGCGGGCAAATGCGTTTTTCGATGCATTTTTCGATGCGTTTTTCGATGCGTTTTTCGATGCGTCTGCAATGCGTCTGCAATACGTCTGCAATGCGTTTTGCAATGCGTTGGGTTGTAAAACACGTTCTTTTAGGTAATTTGCAGTGCTATCAAATGCGTTATATACATGAATCTGTGGTACCTACTATGCGCCTTGTCCTCCTAAGGATCCCTTCCTACAGTTGCCTCGCTGCATATCACACTCCCACCGCCACTGGCCCACTGGTAGCAGACCCTCCCCGCCATGGATACCCCACTCCCATCGCCGCGGATACTACATTCCCGTGCCTGGCTTCCTCGCTGTCCTCGCCGCTGTTCTTGGTGTCCTGTGCTCGCAGTCAGCCAAGTTGGTCTTCCCACACTCATTCTGATCCCGCCGGGGATACTACACAACTCCATCTAGCCGCGGATTGTACATTGTTGTAGCGGAGTGGTGATGGAGCTGTAGGCGAAAGGAGGATCTGTCAGCGAGAGGAAACGAATGTGGTAGTAGTGAACATCAACTTTGGTGGGCATTTCGGGGTCGGCCAAATGAGGAGAGGGGGACTTAGGCTGGCACCCACTGGTTTTCTTCTTCTTTCTTGATCATCATCTATCGAATAGACGGTTAACCTCCCAACTCCGCTCTCTCCTCTGTGTGTGCTCCCATCCTCGCCACGCCGGTCGACCTGGAGAAGATTGGCACAATATTGAGAGTGTGTACAAAAGTACACGTTGTGACAACGAGTTTAACTTCTTGGTGGCGAGGCCATAAACCTAGGTGACGAGGCCACAAACTTAGCCATGGTGGCCTACCGCCGCCGGTATTCACCATAAGAGCCTCACCGGTAGTGGATGTGGTGAAGATGATGGTGATGAGAGAGAGAGCAGAGCACGGTGGCAGTATACCTAGACAGGAGTACTGTAACATCACCGTGATGCGCATTACGAAGGCCAGCATCATCGCACTGTCAACATGAACTTCAGCAGACTGTCGAGGTCGGGTTTTTATTCGAGGCTGGCGGGCTTACTTAGTCATTCTTACTCGGTGACTGGAGTCATTCCTGATTATTGACTAGAGTCATTCCTTTAATTACTAGGGTAATTCCCTAACTGTGTGGATTGATTGACTCTTCCAATGCTTCCCGGATGACACTTGTACGTAATAAAGACAAATACAACAACTTTCCTTCTCAACTACTCCCCATCTACATATCTTTAAAGTTTAGAGCACACCTGAGAATAAAGCTTGGCAGAATTCACGCATTTTTTGGGCAATAACGCGATTTTCACGGTGGGTATCTGTCACTAAAACTGTGCAACGCATTTTACGACATTTCGGGTGCGTTAAACGCGTGATCAACGCATTGCTCGTACCCTAGGGGGTAGAACATATCGAGGGGAGATTTACTCGTAGCTGGCGTTATCGCTCTGGAAAACTCCTGCAGGATTTACTCATCGGTTGCTGCTTCAACCATCTCACGCCAGACGATGACGAATAGAGTAGGTACCAACTACTTCGATCGGATGTCGACGTTTCTGGAAGCCAGATCGCACACGTATAAACAGAGCAGAACTAAAGGGAGCAGGTGTTGTAGGTTTATCAAGGCAACGGAGATGTATGAATTTGATTGTTGGTTATGTTATGGTATGGGAAGAAGAGCTATAAAACTTTAATCTACCTAGACGGTGGGAGGTATGTACATAGGCGGACGAGCGCAACAGCGAGAGTACCAACCTAGTGGTCAGGCCCCACAGTTGCTGCTACGGACAATCGGAGGATGAGGAAGAAGAACTGTCTTCCAGGGTGTCCAGGAACTCACCTTCCGTCACGTATCCCCCATCCTCAGTAGCGAGCCGTTGCGCCCTCCAGTCATTCGCAATGGCCATGACGTCGGCTCCCTAGTCGAGCAGCAGCCGCGCCAATTTTCGGTCTCCTCGCTCCGAGGCGTAGTGTAGTGGCGTACATCCGTCGTTGTCGGCGGCCAAGACATCGGCTCCCTGGTCGAGCAGCCGCCATGCCGTCGCTCTGTGTCCTCCATGTTATTCCCGGGAGGCTACGTGCAGCGGCGTCGCCCCGTCATTATTGGCAGCCGAGATATCGGCTCCCAGGTCGATTAGGACCCGCACTATGCAATCGTCTCCTCACATAGAGGTGACGTGCAGCGACGTACTCCCGTCGTTGGCAATGGCCAGAATTTCGGCTCCCCCATCGATCAACAACCGCGCCATCCCCGGGTTTCCTGCATTCGAAACGCTGTGCAGCGGCGTCCACCGGTCGTTAGCAATGGCCATGATGTCGGCTCCCCGGTCGATCAGCAGCCGCGCCGTCCCTTCGTGTCCTCTCTCGGAGGCCATGTGAAGCGGCGTTGCCCCGTCGTTGGTGGCGGCCGCGATCTCGGCTCCTAGGTCGATCAACAGCAGAGCTATCGCCTCGTCACCTCCCTACGAGGCGAAGTGCAGCGCCGTCCTCCCCTTGTTATCGGCGGCCAAGACTTCGGCTCCCCGGTCGATCAGCAGCCGCACCGTCGCCGCCGGTCCTTTCTGTGAGGAGAGGTGCAGTAGGGTCCTTCCTTCGTGGTTTGCGGCCGTGAAATCGGCTCCCCGGTCGACCAGCAGCCGCGCCATGTTTCTGTGTCCTGCCGCCGTGGCGTCGTACAGCGCCATCCTCCCGCTGTTATCGGTTGCCAAGATGCCGGCTCCCCGGTCGATTAGCAGCAGCGCGATCGCCTCGTGTTCTCTCGCCGACGCGCGGTGCAGTGGCGTAAATCCTTCCTTGTCGGCGGCCAAGACGTCGGCTCGCCGGTCAATCAGCAGCCGCGCCGTTTCTTCGTGTCCTCTCTCCGAGGCGCAATGCAGTGGTGTCGGTCTCCGCTCATCGGTGGTCGTGACGTCGGCTCCCAGGTCGATCAGCAGCCTAGCAATCTCTAGATCTCCAAATCCGCACGCACACCGAAGTAACTCGCTCATGTAGGTCTTGTCTAAACTGAAGGGGATGAACTCGAATGTGCTTCGAAACTTCTTTGTTAACCCAGACCCACTGACGGCAGAGCGTTCGAAGTTTTCGTTTTGCTTCTGCACAGCGAGGACTCTACGCCAAAACACGTCGGCGTCATTGTAGCCGATGTTAGAATATACCGTCGTGCGACAATGTTGCAGCCATCGGGAATGATTCGTCACGGATGTGAATGCCGCCCAGAGGCCATCCAGAATCCGACAGGCTTCCGCATCATCGTCGTAACGCGACATGGGCCACGGCCAAAACACCGTCGCGTACATCAATAGGTTGCGGTCGCGGTACAGTCTTGGGTCGGTCACTGAGTTATCATAATCATTCCAAGCGGTTGGCGTGCACAGTAGTGAAAGGCAGAATTTCGATTTTTCTGTGTAGGAATCGACCTTGGACAGCCGGGTCTCCAGGAATTCATCCGCCGAAAAGTGTGCAAAACGTAAAACGTCGAAATGTTCGTCCAAAATCAGAAGATTTTGGCAAGCCTTCAACAGGTCGTTCGCCTTTACCGTAGGGTCGTGGAAGAATTCGTCCGAGCCGCCAAGCTTGACCGTGCTCGCAGCAAGTAGTGCTCTCGAATTCAGCGGTTCGTAAGAACATTTGATCCACTGGAACGCGTTTAGTGCTAGCTGAGGGGTGCTGCCTTTCTGTTCCGCGATACGGTCATAGATTTGGTCGTATGCGAGTGACAGGGTGTCCGGAAGGACACTGTACGTCACATCGTTCTGGGTGGGCATATTGCAGAGTAAGGTGATGTGAAGTGCGGCGAGTTGGAACCTGGCAGTTACCCGTCAACATTTGATATCCTTCGATTCCCGAAGTGGTGAGGGTCAGCCTACATTCCGTTGGATTGCTTGCGGAGGGTGCCGCATATTTTAGCTTTGAGGTCATCCGGCACATCACCATGAAGCAGTTGGCCATCATCGATGACGCTCTGAACCTTGCTTTGCACGAAGTGGTTGATGTCGCCTTCCTTGTCTTCGGGTCGCAATTCGATCCTCGGAAACTTCTCAAATTGCAGGAGAATGTCGGGGTCCATTCGAGTAGTCGCGAAGATTCTGACGAGATTCTGAGATCTCTCCATAACTAGGCACAGCGACTCCAGCAAAGCTATCCGCATCCGGTGTTCGACTTCATCCAGCGCATCAATGCATATTGTCGTCTGTGGATAAATATCCGTGAGCCGAACAAGGAGCTTCTGGCTTTCGGCAAGGCTCGGGGGTGAATACACATTACCCCTTTGTCGTTAGGCTTCGTATAGATCAATGACTGGCTTCAGGAGCTCTTCGGATCCAACCTGAGCAAGCTGCAGGATGAGCGTTTTCAGAATGCTCTCGGGATTTCGCCGGTCTTCCTCGGCGCGATTGCAATAGAAGTACGCGAACCCCTCGGTTGTCGGATTGGAAAGGAAAGAGTCGACAAAAGTCGATGCGACGTATGTTTTGCCGGCTCCAGCTAGTCGACCGCGCGGCCCAGTCAGACGAAAACTCGATCGTTCCCAGAAAGGAGTCATATCGAAACTTACAGGCTCCGTGTAGCAGTAAAAGCTTCGAGGCACTCGATGATCTCCATTCGCAGTATTCGTGCCTGCCAAACAGCCATTCGCAGGGGTTCTTTAGACGTCCTTCGCTTATGCGCTTATGATGCTGCGTGTAAGGGATTTCTGATATCCAGCTGAGGATCCCCGTCCTCGTGTACGATGACTATGGAACACGGTGAGTAAACCGACAGCGAGAAGACTTTGCGCGTGAACTTTCATACTCCATAGTTTTTTTCGCCGTACGTCCTTGATCAGAGGCTGAAAACTTGCATTTGCAGCCCCGATACTGTCCAGGTGCGTCTGAATCGCCTGCGATCCCGTCCGTGTAGCTGCACAGCTTTAGCAATGCACTTTCGCGTGGTAGCGGTAGTCGCATGATAGAGTACATTGATTTTCGGCGGTATCAGCCTAATAACCAACCGTTTTCTCCAATTCCGCTACCTCCTTGAAATCTTTCCCGTTGTGTATACCGCGTCGATGGGGTTATCTGAGATGGAGTTAGCGGTGGGATATCCGAGCCTAACTAGTCCGACGATAATGCGCACCTTTCGATCTCTGTATGGCTTTCGCGAAGAACCTCAAGATTGCTGTGTAAAGCCGCGATATGGATTTCTCCAGATTTTTGGAAGCCGCCGTTGCGTCACCGAGGTGCAGATGTTCGAGCACAGCGCAGCGATCTACGATGCCGGCAATCTTCTCAATTCCAAGTAGTATCGCATCCAATGTTCCCAGCCTGTCCAAACAGATCTATGGCCATCAGCATTAGCTGCAGTTCGGCTTCAATCGCAGGACGGAGCCACTCTCTGGCACCACCACCACAACCACCACTGTGATTCGGAAATGGCCAAGCGCGACACGATGAAAGAAAAAAGAAAGCTCGGCCTGACCTGCAGAAGAAAACGAAACCCCCCCCCCCATGGTAGCGTCGGATGCCGCGAATCGTATTGCATCATCATATCGGCTATCTGCTTGAACCTGTCTGCCCATCGTAGGATTTTCATCGCGATATATCTCATCACCAGTTGCTCGCCATCGAGTAGCATCTTCCAGTCCTTTCGTTTATGCGTTTTCATGACTCCTTCGATTAGGTCTTCCACGTCGGACACAACCTGGCGGGTGTCCATCGCGACGTCGATACCTGCAAGCAGTGTCTGCTCTTCCGAAGAGACCTCGGTGAAGGCCCTTCTCCACAGAGACTGACCGTCGGTACTCCCGGCAGTAGCCGTCGAAACAGGTTGTCCGTACCCTTCGTTCTGCACCTGGATGCGAATCGCAGCGTCTCCTGTCGTCGGAGCAGACGTCAGCACAGGCGGATCGGATCCGACAGCGACATCCCTAGCTGCACCGTGGAGTGGAGTATTCAGCGACGATGTTTTCGGTATCGACTGCTGCGGTGTGCGCGTGCTGGGAGCTCCAGTGGCTAAGGGCACTATCGTTTCACAGGGAGACTGGATCTGCGGCTGAGGTTTGTGTCGCTAACCTGCCGCCACTGCCTAATTGTAGGGGGCTAGCCGTCTCCTGGCGCGACGGCTTTGGGCTTTCCAGCTCACTGCGCGTTTCTGGAGCCATGGCGTCTCGGGGTGATCGGCAGCTCGGTACGTAGCCTGTTCCTCGGGGGTGCGGATAATCGCGATCGTCTGTCGAGTCGAACGGTCGGCACTCGGGCTATATGCAATGACGCGGGGGAAATGAAAGAATGGGCAAGTAGATGTGGATGGCGAGCGAGGGTCGCACTGCTCTACTATATACGTTCGTTGCTATCGACGTTTCGCGATGAGGACGAGAATTGAGGGGTTGGGATGCCCCGCGTGCGTCAGTAGTTCTCGGTGGCTAAGAATAAAGAGGGCACCAAACATTTAACAGGGTCGCAAACGGACCAGGTACCCATCATAAGACTTGAATGGAACAGAGCAGCCGAAGACTGTTCATCTTTGAGTAGTCACATTGGCCCTTGTTTCTCAACTGTGGCTGAACAATTGCGTGGGACTGGTGGTCTATGATCGTGGGTAACCATCATAATCCCGTATGAAATCAAGAAAAGTTGGCGTGTTTCATCACTTGAACTGTGTACATACTGGTAGCAATACCACCTTTAGGTACGCCGGTGGTGGATACGCAAGGAATATGAGGAGAATGAAGAGGTTGAGGTTCTACTCAAACTACATCTCAGAGCACCATCTCATCGCTGCTCCGCTCCTCCAAGGCTAACCCAATGACCTCTAGCGTACTTCGTCCCCATTGGATGTCATCCGATCCGGCTATCTTATCCATAACCACTTCAGATCTATCCTATCAGATCTGAGCACATCTGATCTTATCTTATCTTTTGCATCCCTTGCAGGAACCGATCCCAAGCCGACACAACCACGCCCGGTCGCGAGATTTCAACCGAAGACACGCGCAGCCATGGCTTACTACACCACTAATCACACGGATTGATGCCCGAGTCGCTGGAAGCTACGCATATCGAGCAATTAGAATTGGTATATATGGAGTATACCGCCTGGATTACTGTACACTGCGTCCTTGAGAAAATCACATCGGTAGTTGAGCACGATATCATCGCAGACCAGATAGATAGAAGCCTCCCACAGGGTAAACCAATACGTTGGAACTATTATGACAACGGATGATAGTGTAAGAGGGGAAATGGAAGGAAAGAACGTAAATGTTGGACCTCCAGTACCCGGCTGATATTCGCACGAATTTAGACGTTTCGGGAACCCGTCTCGCATACATGAAGAAATACGAATTAGAGAGGGGAGGGCTGGGCGGGTAAGGCGACATGTAAGTACCTAGCCGCGTAGGCTTCGAGAAGATGGATCACCACCTCGTGTCGGGACTCCCACGCGAGATTCACCGGCATCATCCCATATGCATCAGTGGTGAATAATTCCGCCCCACGGTCGACCAGCAATCGTACCACGACCGCGTGTCCCTCCTCCGAGGCGAGGTGCAGCGGTGTCCTTCCACGTGCGTCGACGGGGGCGACGTCGGCTCCCATGTCGATCAGCTTCTGTGCCACAAGCCCGTGCCCTCCCCCCGAGGCGAAGTGCAGCGCCGTCCGGCCGTATCTGTCGGTCGTGGAGAGGTCCACCCCCGAGTCGACCAGCATCAGTGCCAAAGCCTCGTAATTCCACTGCAAGGCGAGTTGCAGCGGCGTCGTAAGGGAGTCGTCGACGGGCAAGACGTTAGCTCCCCGGTCGACCAGCAGCTGGACCACCGCCTCGTGCTGCGCGGCCCAGGCGAGGTGCAGTGGCGTCCTCCCGGCTTCGTCGGGGGTGGAGAAGTCGGCTCCCTGGTCGAGCAGTAGAACTGCCACGGCCCCGTGCCCCCGTTGCGCGGCGAGATGAAGCGGCATCATCCCGTCGGCGTTGACGGGGGAGACGTCCGCTCCCCAGTCAATCAGCATCCGTACCAAGGCCTCCTGCCCTTCCTGCGAGGCGAGATGCATTGGTGTCATCCCGTCCGCGTCAGAAATGGAGGCGTCGGCTCCTCGGTCGACCAGTAGCTGTGCCACGGCCTTGCGCCCCCACTGCGACGCGAAGTGAAGCGGCGTCATCCCGTTTACATTCTTGGTGGAGAGGTCAGCTCCCCGCTCGAGCATTAGTCGTGCAACAGCCTCGTGCCCTCCCTGCGAGGCGAGGTGAAGCGGCGTCATCTTGTATCCGTTCTCTGTGTAGACGCCGGCTCCCCGGTCGAGCAGCCGCCGTACCACAGCCTCGTGCCCTCCTCGCGCGGCTAGTTGAAGCGGCGTTATCCCGCGTGCGTTAACGGGGGAGACGTCGGCGCCCCGGTCGATCAACAACAGCGCCACAGCCTCGTGTCCCCCCTCCAGGGTGAGCTGTAGCAAAGTCATCAGGTCTCTGATGCGAACCAAGACGTTGGCTCCTACGTCCAGTAGTAACTGGACAATATCCAACTCTCCAAACGTGCATGCGCGGACCAACAAACTGTCGATACAGGCGGAGTCGACAGAACTGGAATCGAATACGGTTGCAAACTTTCGCGCCAAACCAAACACGCAGACCGATGAAAGGATGTCGCGGCCTTCCTGTTGCAGAGCGTACGACCGATACCAAAACTTGTCTTCAGTGAACGCCACGGTATCGACATGGCCGAAATGATAGTCGAGCCATCGATGGTAGTGACTCCCCGATAGGAATGTATCCCAGAGGCCTGTCAAGATGTCACAGTTTCCGTCGTCGCAACGAGAGAAGTGCCACGGCCAAAATACCGCCGCGTACAACAACAGGTGCCGCTCGCTGTAACTTGTTCGTTTAGTATCCATTTCGATGTCATATTCATCCCAAGAACCGGGAGTGCACAGCAAGGAAAGGCAAACTCTGGCGATTTCGGAATGCGAGTCGGCCTGCAGGAGCTGGGTCTCGAAATATTCGTCGACAGAAAGATGTGCGAAGCGGAACACGTCCAGACCTTCGTCCAGAATCAGGAGATTTTGACACGCCTTCAACACGTCATTCACCTGTATCTTGTCATGGGAGAATTCTCCCGAGCTGTCAAGTTCCACTGTGACCGCATCGAGTAAGGTTTCGGATGCCAACGGTTCGTACGAACACTGGATCCACCGGAACGCGTTGAGCGCAAGTCGGGGTGCGCTTCCTTTTTGGCTCAGTATCCGCTTGTATATTTCACCGTATGCAGCTGTCAGGGTCTCCGGAAGAACCTTGAGGCTGTTTATTACGTCTTTTCGCGTGGTCATATCGCAGAGAAATGTAACCTGAAGAGCGGCTAGTTGGAACCTAGCGTCGCACCCTCAGTTAATACGCTCATCCCAATTCAAGTGGTCACGGTTTGCTTACATTCCCTTGGATCGCTCGCAAAGGACGTCGCATATCTCGGCGTTGAGCGCGCGGTCGACAACACCATCGAGCAGCAGTCCGTCATCGATTGTGCCCCGAACCTTCGTTTCCACGAACCGGTTGATGTCGCCGACATTGTCATCAGGTTGCAAGTCGATCCTTGGAAACATCTCAAGCTGCCGGAGGATGTCGATGTCCATTCGGGTGGTGGCGAAAATCTTGACTCGGTTCTTGGATGTTTCAACAACATATTTGAGCGACTTTAGCAACTGTATTCGGGTTTCGTTTTCCACTTCATCCAACGCATCGATGCAAATCGTCGTCTGCGGATATATATCTGTGAGTTGCACGAGGAGCTCCTGGCTTTCTGTCAAGGTCAGATGCGAGGACTTTTGCCCTCTTTTTTCCCGTGCCTCGTAGATGCAGACGAGCGGCATTAAGAGTTTGTCATCGTCGGACTCGGTCTGGGCCAGCTGCTGGATAAGCGTATTCAAGATGCTCTCGGGCTGCCGGCGATTTTCCTCAGCTCGGTTACAGTAAAAGTACGCCAATTTCTCTGCATTCGGACTTGAAAGGAACGAGTCAATAACCCTCGATGCGATGAATGTTTTGCCGGCTCCAGCTGGAAGGAATGGGAAAACATTAAAATCTATTTCGGCGAAAGAGGTCTATGCAGACTTACGGATTCCCCTCAACAGCAACAATTTCGAAGCGCTCGATGATCTCCAATTGTGGTACTCCGTCTTCTTAAAGAGCCACTCGCCAGTTCCTTTTAGACGTACTTCACTAATTCGCTTGTGGTGGTTCGTGTACGGGATTTTTGATATCCATTCCAGGATATCGGACCTCCTAGACCCTAGATTAAGTGTGAGTGTTCCAACACCGGATATTTTTTAAAAGGGGGTGCAAGTGAGCTTTCGTACCTTCTAATCTTTGTTGTATCCCATCGATCTGAGGACTAAGACGTGACGTCAAAATATTGATATCGTCCAGTAGCGTTCGAAGGCTTTCGAAGCCTGCCCGTGTACCTAGGTGGAGTCAACACTGCACGAAGTTCCGCTATACGGCCGCAAGGTACATTGAGCTTCAGCGACAGCAGCATCCCGTTCGACCGTTTCCTCCAAGCTAGTGACATCCTCGAAGTACTCGACAATCTCTCCCGTTGTGAATACCGCCTCTACGCGGGTATCTGTGGAAGGATTAGCAGGGAACGCTTTGTCCGACGAGGAATACTCAACTTTCGATCTCTGGATAGCTTTTGCAAGGAACTTTAAGATCGCCACGTAAAGAGCAAGCATTGATAGCTCCAGGTTTTTCGATGCCCGGGTCGCTTCGGTAAAATAGAGAAGCTCGTAGATCGCGCACCGATGGATGAGGTAGGCAGTCTTCTCGAGTCCAACCAAGATGGCGTCCACTGTTTCCTGTTTATCCAGCAAGAGCTGTGGAGCAGCATCGTCAGCCGGTTGGGTAATTTTTTTCCGAATCGGTGCGGAAGCTTAGTTATACCTTCAGCAAAAACCGAAATCCCGCCCATGGCAGCGCAGAATGTCCAGGATCATACTGAACGATAATGTCGCCGATCTCCTTGAACCTGTTCACCCAGCGCAGGATTTTCATGCCAACATCTCGCATCACGATTTCGTCCCCCTTGAATCGAATCTTCCAATGCTTTCCCTTATTTCCGTCCACAATTCCTTCCGTTATGTTCCTCAAGGAGGATGCGAAATCACGGGTGTCCGTCTCGATAGCAAGCCCCGCAAGGGTTTCGCGCTCCGAAGCGGACAGCGCGTTGCCTCTATAGGCCCGGCTCCACAGGTGCGGACCTCTAGCCTTAGTATTATCCGCCGTTGCTGCAGTCTTCGTCGTCACCGTACCATCCGCGGTCGCTGTAGTATCTGTCGTCGTCACCGTATCGTCCGTGATCGATGTAGTATCCGTCGTCGTCACCGTATAATACACTGTCGCTATACCATCCATCGCCGTCACCGTATTATCCGCTATCGCACTCGCAGATGTTCCCACCACATTACTCGTTGGATTCGATTCGGTGGCTGCATCCTGGGTTTCCGCGGCGTGTGGGGATCCTACCGTCGATTCTAGTGATTTAGTAGAATGTTGTATTACGGGTGAAGAGCCACTTGGGACTGATGAGGCGATCGCTTCGCCGGAACTACCCGCGGCACTAAGCACCGAGGTGGGGGGTAGATTTGCCTTTCGATCACGTATACGCGATCCGACGGTAGTCGTTGAAGGCGAGCCAGTGTAAATTTGGGTCCGTGATTTTGCTCGGCCAAAGTAAGCAAGCAAACGATCTCGTTTCTTGGGCTTCTCGTCGGACATCTTGATATGATCGGGTGCTCTGTGCGTGAGGAAGTACCTATTCTGCCTCGCTGGCAAACGTAGGTCGGCAGGATTGTCTCTGTGCCGAACGGTCACTATTAGTCGGTCGGGTCGTTGAAATAAGTACAGTTCTGTTAACAAATCGCGTGGGTGGTCCTGACGCGACTTCATAAAACGTGGAAAGCGGGGTCGAGTGCGGCTGATTCTCTTGGCTACGAAAATAACATCTAGCAGGCTGCGGGCGCAGCAGCACGTCTCACGTTGACTAATCCAGGATTCCATAGCCCTTCTGAGTATCACGACTCACGAGCCACTTTTGGTGGTACTGAGAGGCCCATAAACGGGATGAGACAAAAATGGTGATGGATGGAAAATCGAGGTCTATGAGGAAGATGGACAGCAGAAAGCAAGACAAAAGAGCAACAACGAACACAGGTGGCAGTTCAACGTTTACAGACCGCATCGGGTGTGGTCTGGGTCTCACCTCCAGAACAAATACCTAGGTCCCACCAAGGTCTTTGCTCCCAAATTCAAGGTCTTAACACGGTCTGCTCTCTTCGGAGCTTCCCGATGGCACCAAGCCGCCTCGGCACAACGATCAGCCTATCTAACCGAGCACGCTTTGCGACCAAGATTCCCCGGATCGCTGCCGCGATTCTTGCGTATCGATGAGGCGTCATTCCTGTCTCTACACCCCGCTTATCCATAATGACGGACGTCGCCACTATTATGCAAGTCGGATCCCAGCCCGTCGTGAGTCCCGACCTCTGCCCCAGCTGTTCCGCCCGGCCCAAGTAACGCGACGCCCTCTCTGGATTGGTCCCATCCACGGGGCGTCGCGACGGACGTTATCCTTCGTGGTCGTATGGAGAGGCTGGTGATGCATCGGAACCGGAATTCGTGTTACGGACGCAGGCGAGACTGGAGCTGCGAGACTGGCTAGTACCTACCGGGATCCGATCGCCGGGCGGCAAATGGTGAAAATTCCGATATTTACGAGTCGTGAGGTCTCCTGTCGACGTCGCGATTGAAACGGTCCGCCGCAGAAGTCGTCTTTACAATAGGTACTGTAGTCTGTGGCAATCCTGAGAATCGCTGGTTTATTAATAGGTAGTTAGATATGCGATTCGTGTCGCGTAGCCCACGGATATCTCTGGCAAGCGCCAATTCGCATGCTCATGCAAAACGCGGCCGTAGGGTACGAATATCTGTGCGGGATCATGGCGCTGTACCGTGCTGACTTGGTCCTGCGCGCATAGTTGATGGCCGAGTAGTGTAGCAATACGCTATTTGTCGGAGGTAGACGTTCGGGGATGGCTGATGTCGGTTGGAGCATCAAAGTCTCGGAGAACCGGATCCGAGGTCTCGGAGCACCCGCAAGTGGATACAACCGGCCGACGGATCGGTAATTTGTCTGATTCCGGTTTCCATGGCCGAGCTAGGTAGCTACGATGGCATACTGTACGGAGACGTGATATAAGGAAGGCATACCGCCGAAGAAACCGTGTCGCAGCGATAGTATTATCAGTATCTATCTCGCTACATTCAACACCATTATCTCGCCACGCCATCGTTGTCACCGCTGACGGCCCGAGCACTCTCTGCCATCACCACCATCTCCTCCGCCGCCATCACCTCCCATACTACCATCATCCCACCTACCATTTTCATCTCCATCATCGCCATTCCCATCGCCATTCCCACGAACGTCCTCAATGACGGCACACAGCCATTCCCAGAACAACACACAAACAGCCGCCCCGGAGCGTACTCACAAACACGGCAAGTGTCAGCAGGATGCCGCGACCGAAACAGGCCGACGTTTCGCAGAAATCCTCCATGGAGCTATTCGCCCACCCTCAAGCTATGAAACAGAGGTGCGCTACAACAGCCTCGGCAGCATCAGCCGCGACCGTGCCGCGGAGGCTCGAAAAATTACTAGTGCTTGGTATTGCGCCCGGTGTGGCTTCGGTCCGCTGAACTCTAATATCGACGCCGCGTGCCCGAACTGTGGGTGGTATCCGGGGCAGCGCCGCGGTTAGTATAGTGTGATGTTATGTTTGGGAGGCGTGAGGTTCCGGGGGATTGGTCCGCCGTGCCCGCGGATGGGCGTCAGGTGGGGGGCGGTATGGGACGCGTGAGAGATAAACTTGGGTAGCGGTGGTAGTGTGGGCGTGGGATGGATATCGATGGTGGGGCGGTGCTGCTGGGGTAGAAAAGACGGTCGTGAAATGTGATTGTGCAGGATACCTTGGTATTTTACGGGGACGGATAATGTTTTGAGAGCGAATCCCGCAGGGAATGGATATTGGTCACCAGTAGGTGGTGAAGTATCATGTTTTCGAGTTGCCAAATTTTCAATGTTGCGTCAAATCCATCGGCACGAGTGACAACTACGATTCGAGGGAATCCACTAGCAACCGACCAACCGGAATGTCTGTACAGCAGAGTGATATCCTGTGTCAAGACATTTAGTCGCTCGCGCGAACGGGTTTCTGTGACTGAAATTGCAGGCTCTATAGATTCTAACCAACGAGCGGCGGATTTGCCAAATACCTCGGATAAGTGAGTCGCCAGCTTTAACCTCTCACTTTCATCACTAAAGCTCCTCGGTATGCTCGACATATTTCGCGCAGTCTGGTACTAGCATATTCCAGATGTTTGATATCTTCGCAAGACAAGATAGGAGAAGTGGCAAGCCGGGTCGCTGGATTCGAACGTTGTAGGAAGCGGAGGAAGCGATAGAAGATGGCTCCTCGAAGTTGAATACAACCTCAACGTCTCCATCATCCGTCATATTCGCCTTTCCCTTGTAGCAACACCTTCTCACCGACCGTGGGCACCCACTATACGAACAGGCGACCATTCCCTCATCAGCGAGTCAAAACACTTCCCTCTCTACCCGTCGGCCTCTGGTGATTGCTTCTTTGAAGGGTTCGCTTAACTACCCATTAGACACCAGATATTGCCGATACCATTCACGCCAACGCGAATCGGTAACTGCCGGCGAGGAATGCAGAAGCTAGAGACAAGGGACTGGAAGTCTGGAAGTGGTGGCATCTGCATAATCTCGTATCGTCTCGGGTATTCCCGCCGGGTGGCGGATTTGACGGCGTGCAGTGTTCCAACTTCCTAGGCCCGGGTGAAGCCTATCCAAACCTATGGATGCTGGGAATGCATGGTCTGCTCACCGCAGAGTACTCATTTCCCTGTTGCCTAAGCCCATTGGGCCGTGGCCAAGATTGCTTGCTCGCTTAACGAATCAGTTCACCAGTTTTTTCTACAAACGAGTCATGTGTTTTGTTTTGTTAGGCCGCCGCAACGCTGCTGTGATTTTCTCTCCACAGCTGTCACCCACGGGCCACGGCTTGCATGGCTCTGACGCCTGGCATCAATCGGCTGCGCGCCCGAGCCCCGCCAGGCGCTCACCCGACCCGAAACTCCTACTTCTCGGTTCTCCCGCGATGTGAACCTTGGCTTTGGATACGGTCGATCATCGGATAGCGGTAAATACGTGCCTCCTGTAGCTTGCAGGCAGGTGACGGGTATAAATTGACGTCAAGTCGCTAATATCAGCCAATGGGCAGCTTGTATGATGTACCAAGATATCTCATCGTAGGAAGCAAATCAGACCACTACCTGATAGTCACCAGAGCTCCCGCTTCCGTCCATTCTCTTTCAGAAGTTGGTAACTCCAGCATTCCGGCGATGTTGGAATACGATTTATTGCGCAAACGTCGATCCGCCGCTTGCCGGGAACCATTCCTCGGCTAAAGTGTGCAGGTGTAGGATTACTGCGGCATTCCCGTGGTCATGCACGACGACCGTATATGAGGAACATAGCCGACTGCGGACAGCGCCAGAGATAATCACCAGCCACAGAACTATCCGCAGCAGTATCTGTGGATCAGCCCGAGCGGCGTCGCATCTCGAAATCTCGCCAGTCCTTGGCGCGCGGAACGGTGTGGTCGTGCGCGTGCCCGATTCGTCGCAATTGGCGAGCACATGCGCTAATATAATCATGCATTCCGCATGCAATCGAGCCCGGAGACGGAAACCGAAGCCAGACATCGGAATGCAGTGATAATTTTGTGCCCGCCGTTTGCGGCCGCGGGTTAGTTCGCTCGACAACTGTCTTGTGATGAAAAGTCCAAGCCCGGCCGACTGTGGGGAGGTAAATAAGCTGGCCGTGTCGTCACCGGTATTTACTATTCCCCCAGACAACCAGCTAAACATCGCTCCCTCCGCTCTGTCGAAGCGCAAAGAAAAGAAAACACCTGTTGCCCCCGAATATCGTCACCTATCCTACCCCCACGTAAAAATCAACCGGTACTTCGCTGTCTGTCCCGTCCCTCTGCGCGAGCATGATCGCTGACGTCATCCACAGGACCATTCTGGCCTCGCCATGGGCGCAAGCCCGCGCCTCCATTGTCGTTCGCAGCAGCACCTTTCCGATGCGCAAGTCCGTGTCGTCGGACGGGCTCAACGACAAGACGCGCGAGGAGCTGACTTCCATCTGGCGCGACGGCCTCTCCTCGCAGCGCGCGGCAGTCGAGCAGCTGCGCCGGACGATCTGCGAGATGCTGCAGACGTCGGGCAAGACCGACGACGAGATGGCGCAGGGCGTCCGCGCCGCCACCGCCGCGCTCAATGCTGGCGCCGCGCAGGTCGCCGATGAGACTACCGCGAAGGCGTTTGAGTATATTGAGGGCATGAAGGGAGATCAGGAGGAGAGGGACCGTTCTGCGGCACACTGCGCCGCGATGTCGAAGATGCTGGCGGAGGCCCTCAGCCCGGCTGTCGATGCGATCTTTGATGGTGTTGCGCAGATCGCGGAGATGCTCGGTAAGGTGTGGGCGATGAGTAAGCGCATCGATACGGAGATTGGCAGTTCTTACGATGCGACGCTGGAACGGATGAAGTAGTCTTGTATGCTTTTGTTCGGTTGAGAGTTCCGGCATGGCGTACATATTATTTCGAATATCTTCTTCGTTTCAGTCATGATGTGGTCGGTCGTGATGTGGCGTCTGTATGGGTGAGTTTGACGTGAGCCTTTGACGAACGGTAGTGTCGACACCGAGGTGTGATCTCCGTGCTGAGTAGTCCAAAACCGAGTGGACGTTTCCGTGAACCAGGGTCGACCGACATCTGCCCGCAACACGCCATGCTTGACTTTAACCAGCCTCCAGCCCCAATCCATCATACCGTCGCGACTCCTATACCGCGGGTTCGATATGTATCAGAGCGTGACTTGAGTAGAAGCATCAACAGCGATCTTTTGCGATCGATTTCCTATGTAAAAATTACGATCTGTGATTCTACGGGCGACCTCGTGCTTTGGGTTCCGGTGAGCACCGCGTCTATGTAGGCCAGCCATTTCGCTGCGTGTGAAGACCGAAAGTCTTTGAAGAGAGTCGAGGCGAAGGGGTCGTTCATTAGCAAGGGGCCTGGTGAGTGTAAGTCTGGAGAAAGGGGGAGCAGTAGTCGACTAGGTAGCAGGGCGGCAAAGCGGGCGAATGTTCATTTCGACTGGCTAGCTGGGAGGCACGGGTATCGGATGCAAGCACGAAGGCGGTAATACTCTTACTCGCTGCTATGGCTGGGAGTCTGAGCCCGCTGTACTGGTAGGTACATGCCAGGGCGTCCACATAGGAGGTGTTTATCGGATGTTCCGCGACGTTTCTAGGGTGGCGTTCCACCGGTGTCACTCGCTACGAGTGACATCACAGGCAGGCTCGCCGCCAGTGAGAAGCCTGAGCTCAACAATGACTCTCAAAGGCGATTCACTTCCGTGAGCGGCTAACCTTTCACGTGACTAGCCTCTGCTTAGCGCATTCTAATGTTGGGACTTGGAACAGGCACCCACTCAAAGCGCGATGGACTCGACGTAACAAGTGGGACCTCCCTGCCCTTTGCCGTGCACAACTCAACGCCAAGTCGCGGGCGTCGACGGCTTACGGGCGGGCCATCTTGGATGATGGTATGTAGGACTTCACGGGAGGACGCGTGATGGCACGCGTGGGGTTGGGTGTGACATGACCCGTGTTGTTGTGCTCTGTGGTCACGGGTATATATTATGACCTATTTCGCGTTGCGGTACGCTACCAACTCGTGCGCGGTAGCACTGGCGGGGAGCGGCGCAGGCATCGCACGAGGTTCGGCCGGGATCGCCACCCACGCTACCTATACGGCAGGCCTTGCGGACGATGCGAATGATCGCACCTGTAGCACCGATCCTACAGCCATCGAGAGGCCTGGAGGACGAGGCCAGTTATCATCGTTGGTGATCACCGGAGAGAGGAGACTTCGCTGACACTTTGTGTTTGAGAGTGGGGACGTTGGTGAGACCAGGCGACTTTGTCGAGACTTTGCGGTTGAGAGAGGAGACCTTGTTGGGACCAGGCGAGACTGTGCTCAGACTTTGCGTTTTAGAGGAGAGACCTTGTTGGGAGCTGACCGGACCAATCTTTTGTGGAGGTGAGACCCGACGCTGGCCCGATGCAGTCGTTAAACATTGAACTGTTTTTGCTATCATTATTTCTGTTCTTCTTCTCCTTCTTGCTTTCTTCTCGTCATGATCATCATAGACCTCACGAATAATTGATCAACCCTTTTTGTTTTATCCCCTTCTTGGGTCTCTCACCATTCAATGCCAACTTCCAACACGACGGGATATCGCGAGCACTGCTTGGGGAATCAAGCCCCAAACCTACCAGTAGTAGCTCGCTACTGCACCCGCACTGCAAGAGCCTTTAATTCCACCTCCGAGTCACATCCATCCCACAAACCTCACAGATTCGGGTTTCTCCGCCACGAAGGTTCGGCGATCAAGAAACGCGTCGCTGCTCGCGGTGCTCGCGACGAATAAGCGCAACACTCTGCACACATGGCGGTAGGATATGGTGAGGGGACTACTACTAACAGTTCTCGCTAACTGGTTGCTGTCACCTCAGCCGCAGGATTGCTGGGGGGCAGTAGTTCCTGGCCAATGAAGGACTCGACCGGCAGGCACTTTTCACGCTCATGCATGCACCTATTGTATGTCGATGCCGTTGAGCTGAGGTAACCATCTCATGCGGGGACAAAGCGGGGTACGTGAATCATATGATATATCTATACCGTACGTTCGCCTCACACGCAGTGTACAGTCGTGCGATATTTTCGACGGATCCTGACAGCTATCGATCGCGGAAACCGGCCGCCGAGTGGTGCATGCCGATAACTCTTCCCCGAGCGCCTTGCACCTCGATTGACGTTCTCATCCATAGTAGCGGCAGCAGGGCCCACACCTAAGGAAAGGATCGAACACAAAAACGAACTGTCACCCGGAAGCTGCCACGAGCGACAACATGAATACCGACGCGCACCGAGTCTACCACGACACGACCCATTTCGAGTTTGCGGGAGGCGAGTTCCACGGCGGACAGACGTTTATCTCTGGCTCGCAAGTCTCCCTCGTCGCGGCGATCTTTCAGTCGCATATCTAGTGTGGCTAACCGGAAATCTCGGCAGGTCCAAAAGTGAGTCTCGACTCACCGTGTTTGTTCAAACTCCCACTCAATGTATTATGTAACCAGGAGCCAGGTCGTCCGAGATCTTGGAATGGATATCTACGATCCCCTACACGAGCCACCACAGGCGGATCAGTGAGCGGCGGCTGCAAGGAACAGGCGACTGGATCTTTCGGAAGGCGGAGTACTGCACGTGGAAGTCTTCGGGCGTTTCCATGTTGTTGCTGTTGCGAGGGATCCGTATGTCGCACACTGCATGCATAGCTCCGAGTCTGACCGGTTCGACCAGCGGGCGCCGGCAAAACGTTTCTTGCGTCACGGGTCATCGACTCTTTCCTTGCGAATCCGATTCCCAACTCGAAATTGGCGTTCTTTTATTGCGACCAAGGAGAAGATAATCGACGCGATCCCGAGATGATCATGCGCACACTGGTTCAGCAGCTCGCCTTGGCTCGGTCGGAGAATATCGAGCTCTTAAAGCCGGCTATCGCCATCTACGAAGACCGAGAAAAGAAAGGGCAGAGATCCTCACAGCTGAGTCTAACCGAGAGCCAGCAGCTGCTTATCGACCTCATCAACATGTACTCGCAGCAAACGATAATCATTTGCATCGATGCGTTGGATGAAGTCGATAGTGCGATACGGATACAACTTCTGAGCTCACTGAAGCATGTGATGGAAGGATCGAAGAATCCCGTCAAAATCTTTGCCACAACTCGAATGGACTTCGACATTCTGCGGCAGTTTGAGATGTTTCCCCGGATCGAGTTGCACCCTGACGACAATATCGACGACATCAGCCGATTCGTCAAAACGGAGGTTCGGAACAATATCGGTAAGAGACTGCTGCTCGATGGCGTTGTCGACGGCGGGCTCAAAGACGATATTTGCAACGTCCTCTGCCACCGATCCAAGGGAATGTAAGTATATTCGATCTCCCGAAACGCGTGTCTGACAGTTCGATAAAGGTTCCAACTCGCGGCGCTGCAAATCGATTTCCTTAGCGAGATGACCACCCAGGATGACGTGAGACGCGGTCTAAGGGCGCTACCAGACACACTAGCCCAGGCCTACGACGCGATCTACAAGCGAATTCTCCGGCAGAAAGGAAACGCGCCGCAACTAGCACTCAACGCCTTCCGGTGGATCCAATGTTCCAACGAGCCGCTGCGATCGGAAACGTTGCTAGACGCGATCGCGATCCAGATCGGTGGTCCGGAAGAACCGTTTCACAAGGACACGCCGATGAAGGCGAACGAACTGCTCAAGGCGTGCCAGAACCTCCTCATTCTGGACGAGCGTCTGAACGTGTTTCGCTTCGCACACCTCTCCGTCGACGAGTACCTGGAGACAAAACTGTGCAGGGGCGAGTGCCACACCGAGATCGCGAAGGTCTGCCTTTCGCTGCTGTGCACCTCGTGGGACGACTACGACACGGCGCTTCAAACGCAGGAAGGGGATTACAGCGATCGCCACCTCCTGCTGTACGCGGCGGTATTCTGGCCGTGGCACCTCTCCCGTGCGGATGACCGCTGCGACATTCTGCATGCCTCCTGGGCAAACTTCGTTTCCGACGGCAATCACGAGCGATGGTTCTTTTACCACTACCGGTACGTGCGAACGCGGTTCCCGAAAGACATGTATTGGCGAAGATCCGAGGCGCTGCAGGACGACCGAAACATTCTATGTACAGTCTGCATTTTTGACCTGGGGCGGTATTTTAGAGTCACCCCCGAGTTCCGAAAGAAGGCACGCATAGGCCGGCTACGAGCCAGGTTCGGTTCGCGACAGACGTTCACCGCGGTTTTCGGGTCCAGGTCGGCGGAGGGCGCCCGTGTGGACAGGCTGCTTCTGTGCGCGGCTCGGTTCGGAGATCCCGATATCGCCGGTAAACTCCTCGACGTTGGTGCGAATATTGCGGCCGTCGATAAAGGCAACTGGACATCGCTACATCTGGCATTCAAGGAAGGGCATGAGGCCGTTGCGCGACTATTGATTGACCGCGGGGCCGACATATCGACTGTCGGTGGTTACTCCGGGCGGACGCCGCTGCAGCTGGCGGCGCTAGGCGGGTACGAGGCTGTCGCACGAGTGCTGCTCGACCGTGGAGCCGACGTCTCGCTCGCCGACAGTGCTGGGAATACACCGCTGCACATCGCGTTGGAGACCGGACATGACGCAGTGGCCGTACTGCTCCTCGGGCGGGGGGCTGATGTCTCAACCGTGGGCGGTCATTCCGGGAAGACGCCGCTGCAGCTGGCCGCGAAAGGAGGCTATTTCACGGTCGTCCGGCTGCTCGTCGAGCGGGGCGCAGACGTCTCGGTTGCGGACGCTGATGGGAGTACGCCGCTGCACATCGCCTTGCTGAGAAGACACGAAACGGTTGCCCTACTGCTCATCGATCGGGGAGCCAATATCACAACCGCGGGCGGCTACTGCGGGCGGACGCCGCTGCAGCTGGCCTCACAGGGTGGATTCGAAAGAGTAGTGCAGCTGCTCAACGATCGGGGCGCCGATGTCTCGACCACCGCTGGTTATTCTGAACGCACGCCTCTGCAGCTGGCCACACAGGGAGGGTATGCGACAGTGGCACGGCTGCTCATCGATCGTGGAGCAAACGTATCGGCTGCCGACGGTGATGGAAACACCCCGCTACACATCGCCTTGCAGGGGGGCCATGATGGTTTGGCCCTACTACTCCTCGATCATGGCGCTGACATCTCGGCCATCGGCGGCTATTCCAGGCGAACGCCGCTACAGCTTGCCTCTCAGGGGGGTTACATGACGGTCGTCCAGCTACTCGTTGAACGGGGAGCCGATGTTTCAACCGGCGGGGGTTATTGCGGACAGACGCCGCTGCAGCTAGCCGCGCAAGGAGGGCACGAGGTGGTTGCGTGGCTGCTCATCAATGAAGGGGCCGATGTCTCAGCTGCCGACCGCTATGGATGGACGGCGCTGCACCAGGCATCGCAGGGAGGATATGAGGCCGTAGCGCATTTGCTCATCGACTGCGGAGCCGATGTCTCACCTCTCAATGGTGACGGGAACACACCACTGCACATCGTGCTGCAAAGAGAACACGAGATGGTAGACCTGCCACTAGCCATCGACCAGCAAGCTGATAGGTCGACCGCGGGCGGTTATTCCAGGCAGACGCCGGTGCGGCCGCCCTCACACGCAGGATACGAGGTGGTAGCACGGCTACTCGTCGACCGGGGATCCGACGTCTTGGCTGCCGACAGTTACGGTAAGACGCCTCTGCAACAAGCATCATGGAGAGGGTACGAGGCGGTGGTGCAGATGGTCGTCGATCGAGGAGCGGACGTCTCGGCTGCCGACAGTGACGGGAATACGCCACTCCACCTTGCCTTCCAGGGGGGGCACGAGTCGGTGGCGTTGCTGCTCATCGAACGGGGAGCTGATGTCTCGATCGCCTGCGGTTCTTCCAGGAAGACGCCGCTGCAGCTAGCCTCGCAGCGGGGGCACGATGTGGCGGCTCAGATGCTCATCGACCGGGGAGCGGACATCATGACGGCACAGGGCTATTCCGGGCTGACGCCACTGCAGCTAGCGGCAAGGGGAGGACACGTGTCGGTCGCCCGGCTGCTCATCGATCACGGAGCGGACGTCTTGGCTACAGACGCCGGTGGGAAAACGCCGCTGCACATCGCATTACAGGGAGGGCACGAAGCGGTAGCCCGGCTACTCGTTGATTGGGGTGCTGATGTCGCGATCGCCGACAGTCATGGGAATACCCCGCTCCACATGGCTTTGCAGGAAAGGCAGTGCGGGGTGGCCGTGTTGCTGATCGAGCGGGGAGCTGACGTATCGATTGCCGGCGGCGATTCAGGGCTCACGCCGCTGCAGCTCGCCTCGACGCGAGGCTACGAGGCGCTGGTCGGGCTACTCATGGACCGGGGAGCTGATGTCTTGGTTGCCGACAGCGAAGGGAAAACGCCGCTCCACATGGCCTTGGACGGCGGGTACAAGGCGGTCGCCTGGCTGCTGATCCATCGGGGAGCCGCCGTCTCGGCCGCCGACGGGACTGGGACCACACCGCTGCACTTGGCTCTGCATGGAGGACACAAGGCGGTGGCTAGGTTGCTGATCGATCGGGGAGCCGCTGTGTCGGCCGCAGACTGCAACGGAACGACGCCGCTGCACGTCGCCTCGCTCAGAGGACATGAGGTAGTGGCAGGACTCCTCCTCGACCGTGGAGCCGCCGCCTCGGCCGTCGACCATGTAGGCGGAACTGCTCTCCATCTGGCCTCGGGGGCAGGCTACGAATCGGTTGCACGGCTACTGATCGACCGTGGTGCCGATATCTCGGCTGCAAACAGATATGGGAAGACACCTCTCCACCTCGCCGTAGAGGGCGCGCACACTGGTACTATCATGCTACTACTCGAGCGGGGAGCCAACCCTTCCGCCGGCGACCGCGAGGGGAAAACGCCGCTAGATTCTATTGTGCCAAGACGGTACAAGTTGATCGCCCGCCTGCTGTTCCATCTAAACGGCTCGGTGATTTAGAATGCCACCTCATTTTCTCCCTCTCTTTTTTCCATCACCTTTCGGTTAACATCTATGCGCGTTCGCGCCTCTAATCGTGAACATGTGGAGAATCACTAGACATACCATGGGCTGACACGTTTTGCATGCGGTTCGGATATTCTGGGTTTTCATTTCATCCCTCTTCTGCTATTGCCACCAACTCTTTCATTGTTCACTACCGGCCCCCGTGCAAGTACTTGCCATCCGGGCCGCCCATACTCCAGTGCCAGATATTTCCGATGAGCGCATGCCGTGCCATCTCGAGCCCACCACAGCTTATAGGTTGTAGTGTACAGCACGCTGCACAATAGCGTGTCTCACTAAATCCCTCAACTCTACCGCCAGAGATGTCAGATGCCGCCCTGTGCTTTTGCGGTGAAATCGGTGATAGGGTAGAACTCTGAATACACATACCTCACGACACCTCACAGCAGTCTAGCCCTGCGTCGCCCATTATTGGCCATTAAAGCGGGGTAGCTTTCGGTAGCAGTATACCCATTGTGGCAATAGTGGGAACCACCGCGGCCATCGTAGCGGGGTAGCTCCCATATTACCCCTCATTGCAAACGGTGTGTCGTCCATTGGTTGGCTGCGTTTCAAGATTCAGGCCAGAACGCGCCCTGCCTAGAAGCACAATGCATGCACGTCCCAGAATACGACCAGCTGGATGCGACTCCGCAACGCAGACCCTCCAAGGCTCGCATATGGTAACATACCAACAGGTGTACGCCTGAATCGTCAGGTCCCTCCTCAGCTGCACGGAGAAGCCTTATAACCCCAGCACACGTCCCCTCTGCGGACTCCCGCTCGTCACCCAACTGCACCCGCTTCACTACCAAACCTCACCCGCTCCATCACCACCGCACAGCACCCCAGACCCACAGGTATCCCCCAACCCGCACTCCACACCCAGCCTCCCACCCTTCGCCACTCCTAACACCACCCAGCTCACAGCACCATGTCCACCGAGCAAGCCACCAACCTCACCACGCAGGAAAGCGTACCTGTCAGCACCCCTACCGAGGGGAACAAGAACACGATCTCAGTGGGCCGCGACATGACGAACCGCGACTTCGTCACCGGCGCCAAAAACAGCCACAACTCCACGAATAACAGCCGCACCTACAACGGCGGATCGAAGCATAACGAGTTCAATGGCGGGACTTTCAATGGTGGGCAGAACTGGTCGTGATTGTTGGCGTAAGTAGAGTAAACTCTGTCAGCGCTCGGGAAAGGCGGCGGCTGATTCGGGCGGCACTGCAGGGGGGGGCGTGCGTGTCCGGGGTGGTGAAACGCCAGCCCGAGCTTCACGTGATGAAGGCGATCGTGTCGAGTATCGGGATTTTTATGTAGACGATGAATATACTGCTCGTTGACCAGCTACCTTTGTCCGCAGATGACTGTGATAAAGTTGTGTTATCTGAAGAGTTCGTCGGTGATGATACCGGTACCGTCATACATACAAGCAATAGTCCACCCCCGGTAGTACTATGAAGCACATAGCCCCGGTAGTGTCACCTAGACCACAGTGTGTCAGGTCTTCTGTTTGTGTCCGGAAGAGTTGCGCAGTCGCGTGCTCGCTCCACCATAAGTAATAACGGTCTCGGATTCTCTGCTCCTCGCCAGTGGTTGACCGCACGTGCTCGGAGGCCGCCATGGGTGCCCTGGACTCTTAGCCGAGCTAGCCGCGAACTTGACGGTGGAGGTGGTCGGAGACTAGGAGGCGGTATAGCCGCAGCCGTTGCAGGCTCGCTGCTCGCTCCGTACCGCGTCAGTCTACACCTTAACCAGTGCTACCCCCAGTGCGAAACCACACCGCCACTCAGGCAGAGAGCGAATACCTGTACTCTACAGACAAACGACGAGAAGTATTTTGTAGATAACTATATCGCTCACCTGTGAGCAAGGCTGCTCTTTCCCAGCGTGCGCTAAGCGTGTACTGGGCGCAGCACTGCGAGATCCACAAACAGTCACTCGTTCGTCGTGTCGATGCCACAGCTTTTGATGGCGATTAAGGCGTCATAACCTACTTGGCGGGTAGGCAAATACCTTATAGGTGTCGGAGAGAATCGGTAATGGTCAGGGGTGGTGCGATGAATGGGTGGTGTAGAGTAGAGTTGGACGGAACTTCCTAGATCTAGGATGGATTGGATGGATTGGATACATACGAGGTTGCTTGAAACCATTTGTTTATGTGTGCAATAGAAATAAAATGCACCACCCCCAACCCCCGAGCCCCACACCCCTAGTTCACGCTTCCCGTGGCCTCGCCGTCGTCGCTGTTGTGATTCTCCTTACGTTCCTCGACGTCTTTCTCATCCTCGTCCTCTTCCTCCTCCTTCTCCTCCTCGTTCGTAATTTCGAAATTGTCCACCTGCCCGTGCTCGTCGGCGGCGATGCCGTTGTCGAAGCTGGACGTCAACTCAGCGAAGAATGCCAGGATATCGAGTAAGCTGCTCTCGAGGCTGACGTTGTTGCCGGTAGTGGGCGCGGGAGTCGAAGTGATAGTGGTAGTGGTTGTAGTAGTTGTAGTGGTGGTAGCTGGTGCCATTATTGATATTTGAGTCGTAGGGGGTGCGTTTTCACCGCTGTTTTCGTTTTTTGCGGAGGGTCATTGTCCGACTGATGATGTGGCAGAAAAGGGAGAGAGAGAGAGAGAGAGAGAGAGAGAGAGAGAGAGAGAGAGAGAGAGAGAGAAGGCTATGAGGAGACGCTACGTGGGTTAAAAAACACAGAACACAATCCGTACTGGAGCTGAATCGCCGTTGAAAGTCGTGATTGAGGCTGGTCGCTGCCGTCGAGGCATATGGTGATGCTCGCTATCGAGTCATGGCCTGTGAAGCGCCACCCGAGAAGGTGGTGAATCGTCCGTCCGGATGCCATGCCCCTTACCCATGTGCCCATTGATCTCGCAAATATAACCCTGCCGGCGGCGTACTGACACCGGCATATAAAAATGCAGATATCATATATGTTGTTGCGTGAATGGCCTCGTAACTGCAGATCGCCCACTGATGTGCAGCGGAGGACTCGATACCAGAGGCCGCGAAACCTGTACATAAGCCTCCGGTTCGTGCATGAAACCCATCAACTCATTTTCTAGCGCCGCGCCGCAACGATTCGGTACTTGGTATGCCAACTACCTTTACCAAATCAAGATCCCGCGTAGGCGCCAGACAGCTATGTATCATCGAGTGCTAACTAGTATCTAGAACCAATCGGTGGCACCGATAACCGAACCAACGTTGACTCGCCTCGCTTATCGGGCATGGGTTAGGAGGTACTAGTATGTAGCTGTAGGCGGACTTGAGCAATAAGCCGTGCAAGTGACTAGCCGGCAGGCAAGCTGGAAAATGAGCTATGAAAACGTCTCCGGGTTCGGTGATACGCAGAGGGACATGCGATGAGCAAAGGTGTAGAATGCCCGCTGTGGAGCTAACAAAGGTACCCGGTAGTTACCCTCGTACGCGATGCGCTCACCAGCCACAGCAAAGCTACTGACAAAAATCGGTAGTGCATATTGCGCGTCGACGCAACGGAGACAATGTAACTTGACAGAGAGTGGTGTATAAACGAATGCGCCCCGAAATATTGTAGCATTATCATCGCTCGTCACAGAGAACATATTTGCGCCTCATAATTGCGGAATGGTCAATTTGTTTCTAGTTGCACGTGGTGGATAGCGTAGACTAGATGAGTGGAGTTTGCGCTTGAGAAATAAAAGCTACTGAGTCGCTATGGGCGCACCTAGTGGCTGGTCGTTAAAATGAATTGACTCGTCACTAAAATGGATTGACTCATCATTGAATACCAACCAAACTTTTGTTCTCAACCGGTGGATCACATAACCCACGGAAAAATCGGTGTAAAAGTTACAAAGCAGTACCTCAGCGAGCTTCGGTGCTTCAATACAATAGAAAAACATTCTCTTTCTCTGTGTCGAACTCTCGTTGCCCAGTCGACTACATATCTCCAAATAATTTAGTTTTGTACGCAACGTTACTGTGGCGGTGCAGCGGGCATCGCGTACCTACTACCGACGAGGGTACCGGGTATCTTTTTAGCTCCACAGCGGGCATTCTATATCTTTTCTCGACAAGCGATATAGGTACGCGCAATGGCGACGTCTAATAAGACAGCGTAAATGATCTAGTGGAACGCGTACGATCCCGAGCGGACATTGATTGCCCGCGAATGGAACCATTTTGGTCTTGGAATGGATTGTGTTCGGGTGTTGGGGCCGGTCGATGGTTTCCACAGCGCGACGCCGGGATTCCGCCAATCCTCCTTGGGGGAAGGGAAGGTATCTTGAACCTTCACACGGCTGCAGTGTTCTGCATAGACCAGACCGGTCGGCCGACCGGTCTAAGTGGGTCTGCCAAGACGCCGACCAGACCTTCGATTTTCCAGTCGAGATAAAATGAAGCAGACCAGACCGTGGCTTTGGTCGGTCGGGATATCAGTGGACCGACCAGACAGCACTCGGCTAGGTCAGCCTAGGTTGGCCGACATCGGGTTAACTGTTAACTCTACAATCAGCCGCAAAGTTTCCTTAGTTTCCGGCGGTAGTCAGAGCATTGCCGACGTCAAATGTCGTTTCTTAGCCAGACAGTCTTCTCCCGAACTATGCGTGATCGGTCGGGATATATCCCGACCCGACCAGACCATACCCAAATTTGGTCGGGACTGGCTTATGTAGAACATTTAACTAAAAAGAAGCATACGTCCTTGATGCCAACCATGGTGTTACTATGCACATACTGAGATATCTGCGTGTGCATAGGCCGATATTCACGCGAACGATCGAGATGCGCGCATCGCTCGTTGTGAGCCAATACGTGTAGTCGTCATGTATACAAGCAGAACTATTAAAGGCCATAAACTCGGCGACTGGTGCGGTGCGTGGCCGCGAGGGGAGTGCGGCGCCGAGCTCTTTGCCGAAACACCATGTGGGAGGGGGAAAGGTGGGTAAATTTTCATAATCCAGATGGACTCCCTACGTGCAATACTGAACGAAAATAAACAAACAAGTACAGTCGGTAAGGTCACGTGTTTCTTGGCTGTGAAAGGTGCTGGCTATATACGTTTTATCAAGATCTCCTTTCAGCCAAAGTAGCTCACACAAAAACAATTTCGTGGTTGAGAGCCTACACCCTGTCCGGGCAGGTTGCTTGGCTTTTTGCACTCTTCGGCTGAGGTTCGATTTATGGCTGCCGTTTCTTCTTTTTCGGTTTACTATGTACCCACCCTCACCCTCCGCAAAAACATATCCGCAGCGACCTGTTGGTGCGCTTATTTGCTTAGTGAATTTGTGTCTCTCTGCTTCTCAAGCTCTTCCTCCGACCCTTCCCATCCGGCCACCTATTCCGCGGCGACCCGCGTTCCAAAACCTCTCTCCGACCGCCTCTACCAGCGGATCGTGAGACAGTGACATCCCCGTAGCGGTCTGCGGCGCAGCGATAGGCGTGCTCAGCATGCTCTCGATGGTATTGAGACGCGCCATTGCAAGGGCGCACGCATCGTATACCACGTGCCACCCGGTCTTCTCGTCCACACTCTAGCTAGGGTTTTAAGTCGGTGGCGTATAAACTGCTGACGCGCTGTCGTCGGCGGCCGTGCATTCTTCCCGCCGTATCATTGTGAGTCATCGTTGTTTCAAGTTGTGTTCTGGCGCAACATCCATTTTATCTGTGAGGAGGGCACCCATGTCTGGTAGTCCCTGTTGCTGTACTTGCAGTGTTAACGAAGGAGATAGGTAGGTAGGGGTCACGCGTTGCCTTAGAATTTCCAATAATTGACACTGGATTCACCATTCATCAACTTTTTTATTTTGTCGCGGCCAGCGATTTGTTACCCAGCTGGCAGGATGGTTAGCTTCTCGTAGTAGTTGGGCCGGTAATTGGCGGGGTGGGTGTTCATGCTCCGGGAAAACATTCCGATTAGCTGGATGATGGCCATACCGAGTGTATCACTCGCCCTAGCACCGTTGACTGTTCATAGAAATTTGATGGATGGATTTGCATCGGCCATACCAGCCAGCTATTAGTGGTTGGCCGATTCAATCTGAGCAGCACCTACTAATACCGAACGCGACCGGAATGGCGCCCCTGATACCACCAAGCGGGCGATTAACCTAACCTAGTGCCGAGTAGTGTACAGCTGTGCGAGATGCGGCGTACGCCAGGTGATAGGCAGAATGTTCGTGGTCACCTCTACCGGTCGAAGCACAAAGCGAGGCCTGCTCTGGATGGAGGATAGGTTGTAATCGATACCAATTTATTCACTCGAAGTCACTCTGCGCAAGTCACGCGGCGCAAAACGTCTCCTTCACTACTTTTATAACTCCTCATAAATGCAGTCCGTGCGCCTTCCACCCAAAACGCTATGCCTCCACCAGATTCACTCTCAAGATAGGAAAAAGAAACAAATCAATCAACCAAAACAATCGAATCGACGAGTTCCGCATCCAATCGCCGGAGTCAATAGCAGCGGCGGCTAGCTGATCTCCGAGACCGAAGACATCTAATCGCTGCTCTCAGCCGACTCTGCGACAAGATCGTCGGTGACAAGAACGTCGGCGACGCGCTTCGAGAAGTTCTCGCAGCAGAAGTTGCAGTCGTTGTCCCCGAAGCAATCGAAGCACTCGTTGTGCTCCCTGCAGCCGTAGTTGCAGGGCCTGTAGTTCCTGTAGCAGCAGTTGTCGCGGCAGCCATCGCGGCAGCCCTGGAAGCAGGGACGGTACTGCTCGTTGTCGCAGCAGAATTGGTTGCCGAACTCGCCGCGGCAGGGGTCGTTGTACTGGTCGCGGTTGCGGTAGCACGGGCGTTGCTGGTAGCACGGCTGCGCCTGGTAGTAGCGCGGTCCGTTACAACCGAAGCCGACACCGTTGCCGGGGGCGGCGATGGGAGCGGCGTTGGCAAAGCCGAAGGCGGCGACGATACCGACGATGCTGAGGATGGTGGAGGCGTGCATGTTGCTGGTTGGGGGTTGGTTGGTTGGTTTGGGTGGAAAGAGTGTGGAAAGTTCGAAAGAGTGAAAGGATGCGTGAATGAGTATGAATGAACGAGTAGATGAGTGAATGAGTTGATGCTGCTGAGATTGGAGGCCGGATTCCGTCGGTATTTATGTGAGCAGTGGTCCTCTAGGGAAACTAGGAGTCGACGCCCCGAAGGTTCATCACGCTCGTGAAGCTGGGGTTTCCGTCTTCCACAACCCAGAAACCTACATTACCGCTCTCAAAGTCCCTCCACCGTTGGTTAACCTACCTACGGTTCACTGCTATGTAAAGGACCACACGCCAAAGCTTGAGTTTGGAGGATACCTCTCACCAACCTAGGTAGTGCGGTTGCGAAAGACAGTTTTGAGAAGGAGGGTTATCCGGTCAGAGGATATTCTTCCGCGCTTTCTTTGCAAGGCGACCGCTCTGTAGCACTTGTAGATGGAGTCTAAGGTTCGTTAGCCAATGTTGAGGGCATTGCCTAATCCGTGCCCAGATTTTCGTGCATCGTCAACCAGTGTAATAATCCGCCTTCGCCCATCCCGAGTAGGTTCTCTATGGCTGTCCGCTGTCGGAAGATTCCCCACAGTGTCCGTTTGGTTCAATGGTCTCCGATAACGCACGAAACTCTCACCTGACGGATGGAGATGGCGCGGCGGGGCGGTAACGATGTGGATAGAGTTCGACAATTCTCCGCCACTCCAGCTGAGCGTACACGGGAAGTCCCATCTCCAAAGCTTAAATACCCTTCCACCATAGAGTGCGCTGCTGTACAGGCATGTTGGACATTTGGATTCCAGTACGAGCAGACACTGACCCATATTTAGCCATGCGAGCCTTGTTCTCACGGCATCTCTACCCCTCGTCTTCCCTGGAGGCTGTACTAGGTAAAGGTGCAATTTTGAGCTTGTATGTGTGGGAGGTATGTCATTCCGAGGAACCGTTCGAAAAACTTGCTCTATCAGCCGAAAAAAACGCTGCCGTTGGACTGCTGCTGCGAGATTTGGACGTAGGTTTCCAGGTACCGACATTGGGACGTCTCACCAAGTGCGGGGAGCGGAAGAGAGCGAGGGAGGGAGGGAGGGAGGGCACTAGGCTGAATGCGTATCTGTGATGGGAGGTGACATGTGACTGATCTCTGTCGTCACGTGGGATGTGGCCTCGTGACGACAGCCTCGGCTGTAAGGTTGTAGCCTCGGCTCTTAAAGCTGGATGACTTGGCGTCTTGGTAAGACGACCACGTCGAGAGCTGGGACGAGAGCTTTCTTCTCTCTCTTCTGTTCATCACTTTGCTTCTTCTTCTTCTTTCTGTTGATTGAGAAGGGCTCTACCAGCAGCACTTACGTAATATGCCTATTCCCGTTCTGCGCGGTATTCGATACGGCCTGGACACGCATCAGCAAGCTCGTAATGCGATTGTTGTTCGGCTCTTAGAGATGGCAGAGTTGATTCAAGAACTTGAGTTGGCGTACGCTTGCACTTCAATGGAGTCCATGTGTCGGGTCGTCTGGATAGCCACACTGTGTAAAAGTAAAGTTCATATGGAGATGATACGGATAATGTGTAATAACATCACCGACATCGGCTTCCCATTCGTTAAAACCGATTTCGATTTCTTCAGCACCTATCTTTCTAGGATTGCTACCTACTACCCCGCACGTGGTACATTTCACACGCTGGGGCCGAAATTCAACCTCTTCACCGGTAAAAGGGTCGTCATTACGGCTATTGATTCCCTCCAGCAAGAGACGACAGTTGATCCCTCCTCGTCCCAGGTTAGTACATTTGATGTCTTTAAGAGTGCGCTCCTATCCGCCGACGACCTTGCGAAGTTCCATGGCCGACACAGCAAACGCCTGGAAAACGAATATACCCGACGTCGTGAGAACCTGGAAATCCGCGAACATTGCGAAATGCGGCTATTATGCTTCCACGAAGAGAACCCCGACATGAAGCCTCTTCAAAACTACCTTGGCATCTCCGAGCACTCGTGCTTCAACTGCGACTTTGTCCTTCGGCTTCTCCAAGATGATGGATACCTCTGTCCGTTTGTCGTCTCGCAACCGGGCCGGAAGAAGAGACAGAAACCTGCGAGCCCGGCGGTCTACAACGTCGTACCGGGCTACCATACTAGAAAGGTATCCGCCGACTGGAAGTTCCCCGCGATCGACTACGGCAACGCGAAAGGCGCGGTGGCGAATAATGCTCGACTGCGACGTATAGAAGCGCAAGCCCGCTTACCTACTGCACTAGTAGGGGTAGGTGTTTGAACGAACGGAGCTCACCGGGAGTGGATCTCAGGTTTGTGGATTCGAGGAACGGCTAGATGGTGTTCGCAAAAGACGGAGGGTGAGATGAAGCAGCAAAGACGAGTGGTGCCGATGCTATAGTAGCTATACAGGCGGTCTTCAATGGTTGCCCAGGCCGCGAGGTGAGCCGCCGGGCTGTTTGACTCGGATTGATCCCGCTGCACACGCTTCAAGGTCAAGTCAAGTACGGAAACGAAAGTGGTTAGGGGTTTAGAGCAGGCTGAAGAACGCGCGAGAGGGCGGGGAACACAGGAAGACAATGATGGCGATGGGGAGGGCTGAACACCACCGGTATGTCAGCCTTGGCGCAGCAGGGGTGGCCTCCTCGCTGCCAATGCATGTGATCGGTTCAACACCTGCCTCGCTGTATGGTATAGTACATACCGGCGGGAAGCCACCCGCACCGGTTGCACAAAGAGAGCGAACCATACGACCGCCTCATGACGGAAACTGGCGGCTGTTAATCCCCCTCGACCGTTCTTTACCACCGTGGTAACAGCGACGCAATCAGCAGTCTTCCCCGGCAGCCTCCTCCCGGGACGGAAAAAAGGCGACTGCAGTCGTCACATAAGGCTAGTACAAATACCTTGAGGCGACACGAATCACAAGAAAGAAAGCTCCGCGGCGTATTATGCTGGTAGTGGTAGAGGGAAGTATGAGTTTAGTAGGCGCACTGGATGAAGATGGGGAAAACGTAGGACTATAAAGACTTGATCATTATCTCTTCTACAGCGGCAGTAGGTCCTCTATGTACCTGTCCCACGTAAATGGCCTCCCGGCTCGCCTAGCAGGCAGACTACTCGTAGGCCCCACCACGCTCGGGGCACCAAACATGATGCGAATGCCTGATGTCTGCACGGCTAAGATCCGGCACCAGGAGTCCTCCGGCGCCCTAGGTGTCGTCCGGAGCCATCGGACGTCTAGATTCGATAGAACATGACGACGCGGTGTCTCTGCCACTACAGGACAGCGATGCTATCGCGGGATTGCTAGGCCTCGACGGCGACGGGCTTTCGTGTTCGCTGGTCCTGGACGAAGATAGAGTCGCGGCATCGCTTGCACTAGACGACATTCAACACATGCTCATGCTGGGAAAGGTTTTCATTGTAATGTTTGGTGTGGTAAGTGCTGAAAGGAGTGGTACGTTTTTTCACCATGCCGGACTGCAGTCAAACCCCGTCCGGCAAATTGGCGGACGTGATGGACCAGTTTCATCCCGTCGTCCAAGACAAATCCGACGGGACCGTACTGATCCGGTGCAGTCCGTCCGGACTCTGGAGAAAACTCTCTGTCCATTTCTGAGGCGAGTGCGTGAACTGACTTCAAGCCGGAGGACTGAGGTTTTTCATTCAACGCCGGTGGGCAGCGTTCCTCAACTGCCACGGGCACTGGAAAGGTGTTTTCTTTTGTGCTGTATTTTTTTTGTTTGTGAGACTTAGGAGGTGCGTCATGATAGCTGGTAGGTTATTAGGAAGAAAACGGGAGGACGCGTCTAGTGAGGTTCACACCGCCTACGGAAGGAATCCCTTATTCACCAATTCGCAAATCCTGCAAATTGGCTCTGCAGGTTACAGCGGTTGTATCTGCCGTGAGTGATTCATTGGGCGACCGGCGATAAACCGTGTTTGCCATATGGGCGGTGGGCTCGTATGTGACTCGCGAACGTATTTTTCTTTATCCGTCACACGACTGCAGGCTCCCGAGGTTGCCCCCGCTCAACTGATACACAGACATGGGAGCTATGTACCTTCGAACATATTTTGCTATCCGAATACGGCAAATCCGCCGTTGAAACAACTACTCCGTTCACGATGGCCGCGAATCTCCTCCCCCGCTTCGCCGGCGACACTCTCGATGGCCACGCTGGTATACCACTCCGACAGCTCCGGATATTGTCAACTTTCTTGCGCCGTACACTGGTTCGCGGAGAGATCGGAAAACATCAGCTTTCCGTCGGCGGTCTCAGAGGAATCGCGGACGTTATCCGTCACTGCCCTCCGGTGGTATGCTCCCCTCCGTACCCAGTTCAAGAACCAAGATACATACATCTTTCATCGGGAGGTTTGCGGTGAAGCTCATGTGCCGCACAGCGTTCTTTCTGGCCAAAAAACTCAGAGAGAACAACATCCCACATCAGCGCGTGCTTCGCCGCCTATCCCGACTTCGACTACGGCCCAGGCCAGCCTGCCGCCGACGAGTACCAGCGCCTTCACGTGCACCTCCTCAAAACAGGCCAGTCCTGGCGATTCAAGGCGGGTTCGGATAGCACTGGCAAGAATGCGATAATACAGGCAACCCAATCCTGAATGCCTTCCGAGCCGCTTTCCAGGCCAACTTCAATGCGCTGTCTGGCATCGGCGGCAGCGCTAGCAGGAGATTGCTGTGCGAGGTTATCGGTTGCAAACCGCGGGAGCTGAAGCAAAGTGTATGCCATATATCTGCATTCCTTGACAACTACCACAGGTGTATGTACATCTCAGCTGAAAGTACCCATAGATGGTGCATGTCAATATTTGCGACGGCTACGATGTCGGTGTGGGAACTACAGAAGCGCCAGTGCAGCGCTTTCTAAGTTTTGCAAAATTGGCGGAGGACGCGAAACTCCGGCGCAGGATTATCCAAAGGACAATGCAACCGGCGCTTTGGCGCTCGTGTTGCGGCACAGGCATCAGCCCGGTATAGAAGACGCTTTGGGGATCGGTTCAGGCGAGAAATTGGGCGCTGTTTTGAGGCAAATCCAAGCGAGGGTGGTGCAAGAAAAGGGGAGCTGCGGAGGGATTGAAGACTAGCCAGCGTAATAGATGTCCTGATAATCAAGTCTAGATACTACAAATCAACATGGTCGTCGTGTTCCACTCGTAGCCATGTTCTCAGGAAACCTTCACTGCGTGCTTGGAGGCAAATGACCAACTCCCGCTGATAGCACGTTTGTGAACAGCGTTCACGAGATGTTCATTAGGAATGACCAGATATGTAGGGAGAACGAGGAGTGACTTCGAATTCGCGCGATTTATTTGTATCCCAGTGCGACGACAATTGTCCTAGTAGGTACCAGTGTTCTCCATAGTCCAGCCCGTCCGTCCTGGGCCTCGGACCGGACTGGACTGTATCTCGGTAGTCAGTCCGGGAGCGGTGTTCGGACCGACTAGTCCGAATCCAGCCGAGTGGCGGAAGTGCCCTGCCACAGGCCTACAAAGTCATCTCGCTGGTAGGTAGCGGTGCCTTCGCACAGTCCTGCAACCTCGTACTGTACCCCTCGTCCTGGCGCCCGCCCGGCGGCGGCAGTCACCTCCCACAGTCCTGCGTCCTTGTAGTCCCAGCCTGACGTCTCGCTCGGCGGTGGGAGTGACCTGCCACACTGCTGCGACCTCGTACTTCACTCATCGTCTCGCCCGGTGGTAACGGTGCCCTGAAACACTGCTCTGACCTGGTACTCCGCCCATATAGTCCAGCAGGCCCAAAAATAGCCATATCGCAATGCGTTTTCACCTGTTTATCTCGACTAGACACTAGCTAGCATCCCCACGATGTTTTTATTCATATCAACGTCTCGCTCTCTAGATCTGACGCAGTTTACTGGTCGCCCGTGGATGATTTGGTTGCTCAACAGTGGTGCTCTACGGCCGTGCAGGACCCACAACTGCTATTCGGTAGTCGGTTTTCACCAATTTCTCTCGGTTGGATACTCACAGGCATCACCAAGGTGTGTTAATACCAACCGCCGTCTCGTTCTGTAAGTCTGACGCAGTCTACTGCGCAGGCGATCTGGTTGCTTTGCAGCGTAGACAGAACCAAAAACTGCCATATCGCAGTTGGTTTTCACCTGTTTCTCTCGACCAGACACTCGTTGGGATCCTCAAGGTGCGGACATCCCACTTGACGTCTTAATACATGGGTCTGTCGCAGTGTACTGGCTGGCTGTGGGGGATCTGTTGCTGAGCGTGAGATATATGGTGACCACTCATTAGGGTGATGGTTCATGATGCCAGGTGGACAGCTTGATACTTTGTGATGTAGGATTATCACTAAATATGTTATGAAGGAGTATAATACAACTCTGTGACACCCCAATAGACTCTCGCGTCGTCAGAGCCAGATCGGTGAGTTCCGGAAGGGATTAGAATACAGGAAAAGATAGTTATAGCATTGAGACCAGTTAGGCAGAAGTGAGCAAACAGGATCTGTATATCACACGCCAATTGACTGTGGGCAAGTTACAGCAAGAGCAGTCCGTTTGGAAGTGCTCAGAACACAGAAATAGATAGTTATAGCATAGAGACGAGTTAGGCAGGAGTGCGCAAACGGGATCCAGAGTCCAGACAGGGTTCGGCAATACGGGCGATGCATGGTAAAGCTTGATACAGCTGAGACGGCCTGAGCAGGTGCATGATGGAACCCTGTAGAAAGAAAGCTGATCATGAAACCTGTTATCATGTGGGATTACCAATGTATCGACAAATGGAAGACTGTAGAGCCGGGCCGGTTATCAGTGCGGACATGAAGATGTGTACTGCTTACTCTGAGCTACCCTCGGGTAGGAAGTGGTAAGCACGTCTTGTCTAGTTGGAAACAGCTATCACTGCGACAGCTTACGGCGACTCTATGGCCTAGACTTTGGGGGTGACTCTTGGTAACGCTTATGTCAGAACATGACTCAAAGGGCGTTTGCAACGGAGTTCCCCACAACAGAGTTTTCTGATCACGCGTTTAGGTGTACGGGTAGACTATATAGTCAAGGGACTACCGTCACGGAAAACTCAACACCAGCACAACCAGAACACTGAATACTACCGCCTTTACCCCTTAACATTATTCCGCTGCGAATTATTCAAATCCCTGACTTTTATTCTATACTCGATATTTATCAAGACTCCAACGTCCTGGAACTGTTTCAGTCTCACACTATAATCCTACGAGTTATAAGTTACCGATTTTAAAAAAAGAAATTAGTATGCCATCCTCCAAGGTCAAGATGCTTCGCCTTGAATACCCACATACACCAGGCGCAGTGCTCTCAACCACAAACACGGCTGGCGCAACATTCGAAATTGCAAACACATTCCCTGGTTGCAAATGATACTGCCACAATACCACCTTGCGCACCGCCACCTCCGCCAGATGTACTCCACATGCGATCCGGTGTTCACCCGCAACGACAGCCAGATGCAAGAAATCGAACGCAACCACGACCAGCTATGCGAGGCCATGAAGCATCTTCACATACAACACACGGCAAAAAACAAAGCCGCTACTGAGTGGCTCCCCACAGAACTCCCAAACGCCGCTTATGCCTTCCAAGCCTTGAACAGCGACGTGTGGGCAGTAATTATGGAGCGTTGCATGAAGGACGAGATCAGCCAACAGAACACCAGTATAGCCCACGCCCGGTGTGAGACTGGAACGAGTTTGCGTTGCCGGAGTATATGGTAGTATCGAGTGTAGAATAAAAGTCAGGGATTTCGATAATTCACAACGGAATAATCTTAAGGGTGTTTCTTTGATGGTTTGTTCGGTGCGATGATTGTAGTTTGGTTCGGTTGCCCGCTCGGTTCGGCTTATAGTCGTTCTGATCCGCAGCACGTGATTACTCTAGAGTGCGGCCTAACGTAGCTGCGTTGCTTCCTTTGCGTCGGAGTTCCGCGGCCTAGCCTTGAGTCGTCGTCAGCTCTCTTCGGATAGTCTTCCCGACTAGGCAGGTGGTAAACACCACACGCCCAAGATAGATCCGAGTTTCCGAGCAATTATCTCCCTCATGCGCCGGCAGAGTTCTTCGCGCGAAGTTGTCTGCCCCCATCGGTCGATGTTCGATTCTCTCGCCATAACAGTTTTTCCCTGGATCGGAGTTACTACTACGGGGCCCTATGAACGGAGATCTCAAAGTCCTCTAGACTGTTATCCCGATCTCCCGCATCTCCGATCACTGTCTAGGCTCTGGAATCTGTTTGCTCCCTCCTTCCTATCTTGTCCTTGATCGCTTCTAACTATCCATTCGGCTCGCAACTCTATTCTAATCACCCAAACTATCTAATCACATCTCTTGCGACCGTCGTGACCTTCGATACCTATCGGGGTGTCACACCCGGCTCCAAAGCGCGATTATCTTCCTCCAAACCGTTCGGACCGAGCAGAGAAAGGCCAAGGAAAATTACAATTGCAGCATCTAAGTATGTGCGGAATAGCCGGTGAGAAGGTGCGACGAACTGCACAAGCAACAGTGAGAATTGAAGAGATTTGTGAAGGAAAAGGGAAAAGCATTGATGCAGGTGGAGATCCATGCAGGAAAACAGAAGGAGAAGGTTGCGGAATGGGCCCGCAGAGGCGCAGGAAAAAGATAAACATCTGAAGAATCGCGCGCATCGACTGCTGGTGTGACACCCCAATAGACTCTCGGGCACTCAGAGGAAGAGCGGAACGTTCGGAAGTGATCGGGACAAAGGAGTAGATAGTCATAGTATAGAGACGAGTTAGGCAGGAGTGAGCAAGCAGGATCCAGAGTCTAGACAGCGTTTGGCGATACAGGTGATGCGCAGTAAAGTCTGATGAGGTAGAGACTGCCTGAGGCAGTGCATCATCGAACCCCGTAGGAAAGAACGCCGATCATGGAACCTGTTATGACAGGAGATTACTGGCACGGCTTGCGACGAAATGACAAAGGGAGGGTCGGCGCAAGAATCGGGAGAGTTGGGAGGCAGTGCACAGGCAGTGCACCGGCAGTGCAAGGATGAGTAGCAGAGGATTGGGGGCTGTGTGCAGGGAGCAGAAATAGCGCAGTAATGAGTCCCAGGGGATTGGGTGTAACAGCACGGTCGGGCAAGGCTCCAGGTAGCGAAGTCAGGCGGGGAATTGGGTGCTGGGTTTGGCAGAGGCAAGAGAGGCTCAGAGGACAAGGTAAGGCAGGGCTCAGTGCAGACGGCAACTGTAACGGCACGGTCGGGCAAGGCTCCAGGTAGCGGAGCCGGGCTGAGGATCGGGTTCTGGGTTCGGTAGAGGCAAGACGGGTTCAGGGGACAAGGTGAGGCAGGGCTCAGTGCAGACGGCAACTGAGAACAGAGGCAGGGACAAGGACTACGGCGCAGACGGCAGCCGAGGCAAGGACAGAGGTAACAGTGATTGAATTAACAAGTTGTTGCGTGAAGAACTAAATACAGAGGGGCAACGGCCCGTTTATATAGAAAATCCTCCACTTCTTCCCGCAACCTGACAATGACCGTGGGCGTGTGCCAGACCCTGAGAAATCCACCTTGCCAGTACCCCACTTCCGTGACTCATACCCTGCGCAGCCGCACTACCCCTGCTTCCTGCACACAGCCCCAATCTCCTGCGACTCATTGCTGCGCTATCCCTGCTCCCTGCACACAGCCCCAAATCCTCTGCGACTCATCCTTGCACTGCCGGTGCACTGCCTCTGCACTGCCCCCCAACTCTCCCAATCCTTGTGCCGACCCTCCCTTCGTCATTCCATCGCGAGCCGTGACAGCAACTAAGGACGGAGGCAGGGACAAGGACTACAGCGCGGACGGCAGCCAAGGCAAGGACAGAGGTAACAGTGATTGAATTAACAAGTTGTTGCGTGAAGAAGTAATTACAGAGGGGCGCCGGCCCGTTTATATAGGAAATCCTCCACTTCTTCCCGCAACCTGACAATGACCGTGGGAATGTGCCTGACCCTGAGAAATCCTCCTCGCCGGTACCCCG